CCTGCTGCTCCACAGACAAGTGCAACCCCGTGAACCTGTCTGGAGCCTCTGCCACCGCTGCCAGCCTCTCTGTGCTCAGTGTCGCCGCCCTGGGGGCAGTGTTTGGAAGCTACATGTAAAACACCCCTCTCTCTCTTCACAGCAATAAATCTGACCCAAGCTGCTCTTTACTTCGTGCCCAGTGCATAACCTGTTAATCTAAAGCACTAGAATGCTAACAGCATTAGCTGTGACATAAGTCTGTGACTGGTGTTTCATGAGAGAAAGTGGAAGTCGACGATGGAGCGTTTCAGTGAAATGCTGAGCTGTAAATCTTCCACAACCTTTTGTTGTATTTATCCTTTACCCACTGTCAGAATGTGTTTTCTATAAGAAGAAATAAAGTCTAACAATGATCTCTCTGTGAATGTGTTTTCTTTAATACACAGTTTTATGGTCGCATTGGTGTATATTTATTGTTTGTCTAAAAAATCAATCACACACTGCCTATAGATGGACAATGCTAACCCGCTAGCTCAAGGAAACCCAATGGAAGTGCTCATGGACAGAGATTTGCTCCAACTAGGTCAGTAACTGTCCGTGTCCTACTCGCTCTCTGTGATTCTGATCATGAAAAGCTATATTTTATCTTTGAAAATCCAGACATGAGCCATAAGGATGGACCAATCAGATGTCTTCATTTGCAGGGGAAGTTCTTAGCAGCCATTTTAGCTACACGTCTGCCCCTGTAGCTAACCAGGGTCAAAACAAATGCCCATATAAGGAAGTTGGCACCAGTTAGCTTATGTACTGGTAACGTCAGCCCACGGCCTGCTCTGGACAGCCCCCACCTTTGTGTTGTGCTCCTGAAGTGGCCTGTAGGTGGCGCTCTTTCATTATGTGTGATGACTGCAGACGTCGGTGCTCCTCAGAATACTAACGATGAATCTGGATCAACACATTCTACACTTCATCTACAAAAGTTGGTTTTATCACAAAATGAGGCCAGTCCAAAACACAGTTGTAAAAACATTGGTTTCTTATTTCAAATAGTTGTTTTAGTCGTGATTTCATTTCATTTTGTGATTATTCTCTCTTAGAATCTTTAAACCCAATTTTCAACTTTTCAAAAAAGAATGTAAAGACCACTTTTCCTGGTAACTAACCAGGATTAGGGTTCAGGGTTCAAGGTTCAGGATAAAGTTTCAGGATTAGGATTCATGGTACAGGGTCAGTGGTTCGGACTCGGGTTTTGACTTTTAATGACTTGGAGATAACAGATTTTCACGGGCTATTTAAATCAACCATTTATTGTACCCTTTTTTTGCTTTCACAATGGTGAATGCAAATGGTGGCGGTGCGTGACGGACGCGTCAGCGCCCGTCACTCACCCCGACGTGACGGTTGAATGCGTAAACTCAAACGCTTTAAAATTATGTATCAGGTGCCATTGAAACCTATATTGTTTTTGCTCGAGACGTTGAAAAAAAAAATCTTTATTAGGCCCGAGCCCTGAACGGGAAATGGCCTATTGTTTTTGCTCGAGAAATGTCAAATTCTGCACTTTGAGCCTTAATTTCACCCCCTGAACATGCATGAAAAGTTGTAAAATGTTGCCCAAACATCACACCTGGCGAAAAATTTGATATTTTGGTGTTTATTTTTATTGGACTCAAAAACAGAACAGCGCCACCTACAACAGCCAAAATAATACCCCTATGGGACTTTTGGAGGTCAAGTTTGTTGTAGAGCCATGAAATTTGGTACACATGTTCCTCAAGTCAAGACAAGAAAAACATTTATTATGACTCCGCCCTCTGACAAACAGGAAGCCCATAAATTTCACTTCAAAATGGAAACATTAAAAATGATCCTTTTCATACAGGTCGGTTGGAAAGCGACTCCTCCTCGGCCGTTTCACCGATTGGCCTCAAAATTGCTCCACATCATCTCAACACATGTACCATCAAAATGACCTCAGGGATTTTTGATCAGTGAAACGTTGTTTGAGCAGCAGAGCGGCAAAATGTGACCTTTTTTGGCCGTTTTTGACAACAAATTAAATTTGAGAATCACAATCATTTTTATTGCCACGTAAGTAACAGGAAGTCGCACAGACTTGGAAATTGCTGCTTTGGCTCAGTGCAACAGTCAGAATAAGATAAATAAAAAATAAAGAATAAAAAACACTTCTCAAGGAAGACATTTAAATTAAAGAATAGAGTTTACAGTTTACTATTTACCAATATACAAGGGCACCCTGGTGCACACACATGTAAGGTGACAGGCAGTACAAGTGAAAAGATAAAGTGACTTTATAAAGGGCGGGAGCAGGTTAAGAACTTTTGCTCCCGTTTGCACAATAACAAAGTCTGATTTAGGACATAACTTGAATCAATCCATTGTTTTCAACTCCAGGTTTTAGGTCAGGTGAAAGTGAAATATTTGAAATTGGTCCCATTTAGCCCCCCCTACCGAACTGATTCAAAGTTTACATGGGGAGCCAAACCAGCTCTTTACTTATCATCTTCATTACAATTTGACTACCATTCTTCCTATGGGTACCGGGAAACAAAGTCAGCACACGGCGCGACACTCTCCTATGCGCGTGGTGCTGCCGTGGTACAGGTCTGGTAATCAGTGTTGTGCTGGCGTGAACGCGTTCAAAAGAAACGCGTTCATTGAAACCCACGCTCATTTTTTGGTGAACGTTGAACTGAACGCAACACATTTTTAAAAAAGAACTTGAACGTGAATTAGTTCATTTTATGTGTCATGAACGGCAGACATCTCTATGAACGTTGGAATCTGTTTTCTCTTTTAAAACGCAACGAGAGAAAGTTCCTCCCTCCTGTATTCTCGCACTTTTTCCGCCGAAATCTAAAAATTCCTACGGTTTCCACCGTCTGTGAACGCACCCCGACTCCGTGTTGCGGCGCTGTGAGCTGCTGCTTTTCACATGTGCCCGAGTCGTGATGAAAACACAGCACTGCAGCGCATTACTGTCTGTAGTTTATGAGCATAAAGTACAGACACAGCACTGCAGCGCATTACTGTCTGTAGTTTATGAGCATAAAGTACAGACACACGCACTGCAGCGCATTACTGTCTGTAGTTTATGAGCATTAAAGTACAGACACAGCACTGCAGGCATACTGTCTGTAGTTATGAGCATAAAGTACAGACACAGCACTGCAGCGCATTATGTCTGTAGTTTATGAGCAGAGATGGAGCAACTCCGTTTGGCTCCCATTGAAAACATGTAAATCTTGTCTGTTTTGTGTCAAAAGGCTCTCCTCCTGTGGGTGTACAGGTCGATATATATTTATATATATAACTATATATAATATATATATATATATAGCTCGTAGTGTGAAAAAAAATATTTATTCAAGTATCTCACGAAAAAAGTAAAATGAACTGAACTTTGAACTAGTTCAGAATTTAAAATGTGAACTTTGAACGTGAACTGTTCACTTTGAGCATGTATGAACTGAACTTGAACTAGTTCATAAAAGCTGTGAACTGGCACAACACTGGGTGTAATAAGACTTAGTGTGGGGCATTGTGGAGCGGGGCGTGGTACGGGGCGGCTTTGTTTGGGGCAGCGTGATGCAGGGCGAGGGCCGTTCGACGCCGCTTGCGGCTTTAATATTTTGTTTGGTTTGATCCTGCAGGTCTGAACATTGTTTTAAATTCGTTTTTGGAGATTGTGAAAATACATATAAATATAATTAGGTTTAATGATTCTCACAGATCTGCAATAATTACAAAATAAAATGTCATTGTGGCTAAAATAAAAAAGGCAAACAATCTTCTTACAGCTGTCTGAAAGAAGATGTTCTTGAGTGGTATAATTAGACCCGAGCCCCGAACGGGGAAAGGGCCTGTTGCTTTCACAATGGTGAATGCAAATGGTGTACGTGACGGACGCGTCAGCGCCCGTCACTCACCACAACGTGACGGTTGCGTGCATAAACTCAAACGCTTTAAAATGATGTATCACGCGCCATTGAAATGTTTATACATTGTTCCACCTACAACAGCCAAAATAATACCCCTATGGGACTTTTGGAGATCAAGTTTGTTATATAGTCATGGAATTTGGTACACATGTTCCTCAAGTCAAGACAAAAACTATTACTGTTCAAGAAAAATGAACAGTAATAGTTTTCATACATGTCGGTTGGAAAGCGACTCCTCCTCGGCCGTTTCACCGATTCGCCTCAAAATCGCTCCACATCATCTCAACACATGTACCTTCAAAATTACTTTGGCGATTTTTGATCAATGAAACGTTGTTTGAGCAGCGGAGCGGCAAAATGTGATATTTTTTTTCATTTTTTATGATCGAAAAATAGCTCCCGTTTGCACAAACTAAGTCTGATTTGCACAAAACTTGAATCCATTGTTCAACTCTAGGGTCTAGGTCATGTGAAATTGAAATATTTGAAATTGACAGACCACAGACTGAGGCAAAGTTTTACATTGGGAACCAAACCAACTCAACTGATCCTATGAATACAATTTCACAAACTTACTTTTATGGCTACGGGACCAAATCATGGCGCGGTGGCGCCATCTCCAATGAGCGGTGCGGGGCGGCGTTGTGTGAGGCAGCGTGGTGCGGAGCGTTGTGGTGCGGTGCAGCGTGGTGCGGGGCGGCGTGGTGCGGGGCGGCGTGGTGCAGGGCGGCGTGGTGCAGGCGCAGCGTGGTGCAGGGCGGCGTGGTGCAGGGCGGCGTGGTGCAGGGCGGCGTGGTGCGGGGCGGCGTGGTGCGGGGCGGCGTGGTGCGGGGCGGCGTGGTGCAGGGCGGCGTGGTGCAGGCGCAGCGTGGTGCAGGGCGGCGTGGTGCAGGGCGGCGTGGTGCAGGGCGGCGTGGTGCGGGGCGGCGTGGTGCGGGGCGGCGTGGTGCGGGGCGGCGTGGTGCAGGGCGGCGTGGTGCAGGGCGGCGTGGTGCAGGGCGGCGTGGTGCAGGGCGGCGTGGTGCAGGGCGGCGTGGTGCAGGGCGGCGTGGTGCGGGGCGGCGTGGTGCAGGGCGGCGTGGTGCAGGGCGGCGTGGTGCGGGGCGGCGTGGTGCAGGGCGGCGTGGTGCAGGGCGGCGTGGTACAGGGCGGCGTGGTGCGGGGCGGCGTGGTGCAGGGCGGCGTGGTGCAGGGCGGCGTGGTACGGTGCGGGGAGTTGCGCGGTGCGACTAGGGCCGTTCGACGCCGCTTGCGGCTTTAATTTTAGTTTTGTTTTGGTCTCATCAGCTTTTACTGATCCCGGACTGTTAACCACTCGATGATCCCAGCTTGTGCACATGTCGCTGATTCGAGCTACTGCTTTTATCCACAATCGTCTTCTTTGGGTCAGTATCCAAAGCTCATGATCGTAGGTGAGTTTTAAAGGCGCCACAATCCATTTCAAATCCTCTTTTTGTGGCATTAAGTGGTCCTAATGTGTCTCAGACAAATATAAATGTTCAATCGATTCTGTGGAATCTGAATTAGGAGTTAGTAAGTGCACAATGTGTTAAAGCATCCACCCATTTTCTTCCCCTTGGGACTTAAGGTAAAGTGGGGTTAAGAAAGTAAGTAAGGTTTATTTGTATAGCGCAGTGGTCGGCAACCCGCAGCTCTGGAGCTCCAGGAGTCATTAGTTAAAGCAATTTACCATATTCTGGGTTCAGATATTGTTCCATTCTCTCCTCACGGTGATGACGGAAGTGAGACGCCGAGCACACTGGTCCATCAAAGCCTCCGACCAAACATCATTCACTCATTTATTACATTCATACTATTGTGCAAGCTACTAGTGGTAGGGGAAACCGGAGCACCCGGAGGAAACCGGAACAGGCAAGGGGAGAACATGCAAACTCCACTCAGAAAGGCCTTGTTCCGACCGGGATTTGAACCCAGGAGCCAGCCACTGTGACGCCCAAGTGTCTTGCCTGAATTAGCCAAGTTAGCCTGAGTTTGCCACGTTAGTCACATTAGCTTGAATTTTGAACTGTTAGCTTGAGTTAGTCACATTAGCCGGGTAAGCCTGATTTAGCCACAGCATGAGAGTGAATGTAGCAGAGTAAGCTTGAATTAGCTATGTTAGCCATAGTTAGTCACATTAGCCTGAGTTGGCTACGTTAGCCTGAGTTAGACACATTAGCCGAGTTAGCTTGAATTAGCCATATTTGTGTGAGTTAGTCCCATTAGCCTCATTTTGCCACATTAGCCTGAGTTAGTGAAATTAGCTGGAATTAGCTACGTTAGCCTGTCACATTAGCCTGAGTTAGCCACATTATCGTTGCACTTCCTGTTTCTCTGACCTTAGGTTGTGAAATATTTATAACATCAAAATCTGTGATTACAACTGCTCTAGGATAGAATGGCTCTTAACTCGAAGGCAAGTGGAGTCTGTGAGGTTCTTCTTGGTTAGAATGAAAACCTGCAGCCACATGGCTTTTTCTGGAACCAGTTTGACCCCCCTCTGCATGTGCATATCCTGGTTCACATTGTTGAAACAGAACATGTGATCGATCTGGTATTTAGCAGACGAGATACAAGTCATTTTCTACTTCCTCGTAAAAGATTTCAGAACAATGAAGTCAAGGAAACAAGACAACATTTCTGAGATGTAACAGCCACAGCTTTTCTCGACAACAGACCAGTATCATATTTATTGTATATTTCTCAATGCTATAAACTGTAAATATAAACCACAAGCTTTTGAAAACAACACCAAGCTTTGGTTAGCTTTATGAGAACAGTGTGTTGCTTGGTTAGAGTTAGAGAGTTATCACAACATGTATTATCCACAGAACACCCAAAGGTCAATTTACACAGATGATTAAAGTAAAAATCTAAATTGGGTTCTAAAAGGGTGAAGAAAAAGGCGTGAGGGTCTGGGGTTGTGTCGTGACAGAAGACATGTTTTATTGATGTTAAAACGATAATTCATTTATGTAAAGGCTCATGTTACTGTCACGGCTGAAGGACTCCAGACCCACTGAGCTCACACCGAGCAAACAGAGGAACAGGAGCTCAGTCTGAAGTTTGTAGGTCGCCTGAAGCTCTGTTTACTTTGGAATGTTCTGGAACTACAGCGAGTCCTCAGTGTCTCTGAAACTGTTGTTTTGTTATTTTTCTTTTTTCTGCCTGAGATGTTGCTGCAGTTCAGTGTCCATCTTTATGAAAGCTGTAGGTTCTCTGTCAGGTTCTCTGTCAGGTTCTCTGTCAGGTTCTCTGTCAGGTTCTCTGTCAGGTTCTCTGTCAGGTTCTCTGTCAGGTTCTCTGTCAGGTTCTCTGTCAGGTTCTCTGACAGCTGAGGTCGAGCTGGTTTAGTTTACATTGAGTTCTATGGGGAAAATTTCTGGGTAGCCCACGTGAATTTAGTCTGCAGTACCACGGCGCCCCCTGTGCCCATGGGTGGGACAGCTATAAGCTAGTAATACCCTATCCAGTTATTTTCATAGATCCATGGTTTTTTCACATTTTCCAGGCCCCGCGGCCATTTTGAATCTGCCCACAGTTGGCAAAAGGGATGGTCACTACAGTCCCTCCCGGGAGAAGAAAGAGTGTCCGAACCAACAAGTGTTGAATTACAAAAGGCCCTACGCCCTGTTGGGGCTCGGTCGGAATTAATGAAAGAAAGAAATAGTATTGTTTAAGCAACAATACAGACTTTGATGGAAACCACAACCTACGTCACTATGGTAACATGTGTCGTGGCGTAAGTTAGCTCTGTGTGTGAGCAAGGCTTTCCACTGGCCTCCTGCTGGGACTCTGAGGAGCACAGGGACTGGCCTCCTGCTGGGACTCTGAGGAGCACAGGGACTGGCCTCCTGTTGGGACTCTGAGGAGCACAGGGACTGGCCTCCTGCTGGGACTCTGAGGAGCACAGGGACTGGCCTCCTGTTGGGACTCTGAGGAGCACAGGGACAGGCCTCCTGCTGGGACTCTGAGGAGCACAGGGACTGGCCTCCTGTTGGGACTCTGAGGAGCACAGGGACTGGCCTCCTGCTGGGACTCTGAGGAGCACAGGGACAGGCCTCCTGCTGGGACTCTGAGGAGCACAGGGACTGGCCTCCTGTTGGGACTCTGAGGAGCACAGGGACTGGCCTCCTGCTGGGACTCTGAGGAGCACAGGGACTGGCCTCCTGTTGGGACTCTGAGGAGCACAGGGACAGGCCTCCTGCTGGGACTCTGAGGAGCACAGGGACTGGCCTCCTGTTGGGACTCTGAGGAGCACAGGGACTGGCCTCCTGCTGGGACTCTGAGGAGCACAGGGACTGGCCTCCTGTTGGGACTCGCCCTGTTTATACTGAGACGCTGCACAGACGTTTCCAGGCTATTAACAGAAACGACCTGGCTCCTAATGCAAATTTCTCAGCGTTCACATGAGGTTGAAAAACGATGTAGTTCTAGCGCCCGGCCAGTAGTGGGCAGAGAAACTTTACAACACGACACACGACCCCCAGCCCCGTGCCCAGCCTCCCTCTCGGCAGTGTACTCACTTCCTGTGCCAGACCCTCAGAACGTACCAACATCATTCTGCATTTTAACAGCATCTGGGAAAATGGGAACTGAACCCAGAGCTTCGCGTGGTCTCGTTTGGACGAACGAAGGTGTAGAATTATCTTCTGTCCCGCGCTGGAAGCCCACGTAGCTAGTTTGTGTGGGCGGCGCCATTATTGTTTTTGTTTGTTCTCCGCTACTGCGCATGTCCAAATTTACGTGCGGGGAGCAGCGCGGAGGCGGGGGTCAGAGCAGAGGGGGATTTCACACCTTTCCCCTCTCGCGGGTGTGAAAGAGAGCCCCTGCTGTGCAGCGTATCTGAGGCCCTGTTTATACTGAGACGCTGCGCAGACGTTTCCAGGCTATTAACAGAAACGACCTGGCTCCTAATGCAAATTTCTCAGCGTTCACATGAGGTTGAAAAACGATGTAGTTCTAGCGCCCGGCCAGTAGGGGGCAGAGAAACTTTACAACACTCACACGACCCCCAGCCCCGTGCCCAGCCCCCCTCTCGGCAGTGTACTCACTTCCTGTGCCAGACCCTCAGAACGTACCAACATCATTCTGCATTTTAACAGCAGCTGTGAAAATGGAAACTGAACCTAGAGCTTCGCGTGGTCTCGTTTGGACGAACGAAGGAGTAGAATTATCCTCTGTCCCGCGCTGGAAGCCCACGAAGCTAGTTTGTGTGGGCAGCGCCATTGTTGTTGATGTTTGTTCTCCGCTACTGCGCATGTCCAAATTTACGTGCGGGGAGCAGCGCGGAGGTGGGGGTCAGAGCAGCAGGAGGTGGGGGTCAGAGCAGAGGGGGATTTCACACCTTTCCCCTCTCGCGGGTGTGAAAAAGCTCCCTGCTGTGCAGCGTATCTGAGTTGTCCCACTCTGCAGGCTGGATCTGAACACTTACGTTTTCACCTGGAACACAGTCTTCGTATGAACGGTTGGTAGCAACCGACATCCAACTATACCGTTTTACTGCCACATTGTCTCCGTGTAAACTCAGCCTGAGGAGCACAGGGACTGGCCTCCTGCTGGGACTCTGAGGAGCACAGGGACTGGCTTCCTGCTGGGACTCTGAGGAGCACAGGGACTGGCCTCCTGCTGGAATCTGGGGAGCACAGGGACCAGCAGAGAAGGCCCTGACCCCGAGGTTTGGTCAAGGGTTCATAGGAGGATTTTCCCACATTTTGATTGACGAGCACGTATCACCAGAATGATAAACAATTACATGAACCTTGATTATCTTGGATTATCCACCCAGAAGTAAAAAATCCTCCTATAAACGTGTAACAAAACACTGAGACCTAACGTTATCAAAGTGCCGGACACACAGCCATCGTTCTTCGTCACTTTGGGCTCATGTTGCATCTTTATTTAAACTGTAACAATAAACATTTGAGCAGAGACTGTAACGTGAGTGTTTGTCGACGCCCTCTTCGCCCAAACCAGACGGACCGGATCCTTCTGCTCCTCTTCCTCTTCTCCTGCCGATCTCTCACTCATCATTATAAACCTCGAGCACTTTGTTGTTTTAACGTTTCTCAGTTTGACTCACATCAGACGGAGCCATGACGTCTGTGGGCAAGACTCTGATCGTCCTCGGTGCTTTGATAGCAGCAGGTAAGACAAAAATATATAAATATATTGTAAATATATGATGTAAATGTTCCCTAATGTTGAATGTATTGGTGTGAATAGTATTTTGTATTTCTTGGGGTTAGTGTAATATTTTGGTCACATTTGAGTAAATAAATGACAGGTTTAATAACAATAATTCAATATAATCTGATACATTCTGTCACTATTTGTATTCACATTTATTGTTATAATAAACATACACATACTTAAAGGAACAGGCTCCGTGTTTACACACTGACACATGTTCTTACCTCAGACTGATATGTACCTGTCTGGTCTGTGTCCGTGTGCTCTGTCATGCAAACGCAGCACAAACACAGCCTCTTCCACAGACTGTATAGTAACAAATCAGCTCCCGTTAGAAGCTCCCAAACTCTTCCACGTGTTCCCTTTAAATACAGTTACGTGACGTGTTACTCTACAAAGTATAGTATATATATATATATATATATCGGTATATATATATATATATATCGGTATATATATATATATATTATATATATAGTTACAGCAGGAAATGTAGGAGAATACAGATGACTCAAAAATACATTACACAACGGAAGAAAAAAAACATTGAATGAGTAAATGAGAAAACATAAGTCAACATTAAAGCTGGGGTACCTAACTTTGGTCAAAAATAACACCGATTGTTTGTCCGAACAGAAAAGCCTTTTTAAAAATAATGTTATGTGACCAAAAAGTTGTAGTCTTAATATAATCTTAATATAAAACGTCTTTCATGTTTGCATCAATATCCTTAAACTGGAGAAGAAAGAACCAGATAGATTTGATCACACACGGTTGTTCCATTTCTCTTTGAAGTTAGGTACCACAGCTTTAATAAGCCTGGATTGTTCTACAGTGACTTTTATCTTGATGTTGCGTCGACACAAAAATGCAGCGTTGTCATGGAAACACTGATTAACAGGAACAGTCGGTGATAAGGTCTACAGAATGCAGCAGAGTGAGTTTGAACCTTATTGTTCTGTATTCTGCAGCGTACGGCCTGAAGTGTCGTCAGTGCGTCGTCGGCATCTTCGGCTCCTGTCTGTTTCCTTCTGAGATCACCTGCAGCAACAGCACCTCCAACTGCTACACCGGAGAAGCACGTAAGACAGAACCGCTGTGGAAAATAACCTCACAGAGACGGGATCTTTGCTTTCTCTCAGTTCTTTCTCAGGTTATATAAACCATCTCCAATCAGGATATGGTTTATATAGGCAACGTTTACAACATACATGGAAAAAACATTTAGATAGAGAAATTCAGGTGTCCAGTAGCAGCAAAAATAAAAAAATTAAATTGATCATTCGAAAAAGCTAACAATAGTAATAATCAGCAAGAGTCCTTAAGGTCACAGCAGCAGAGGTGGAGTAGCCTCTGGGTGGAGCAGGATGGGTCACAGCAGCAGAGGTGGAGTAGCCTCTGGATGGAGCAGGACGGGTCACAGCAGCAGAGGTGGAGTAGCCTCTGGGTGGAGCAAGACGGGTCACAGCAGCAGAGGTGGAGTAGCCTCTGGGTGGAGCAGGACGGGTCACAGCAGCAGAGGTGGAGTAGCCTCTGGGTGGAGCAAGACGGGTCACAGCAGCAGAGGTGGAGTAGCCTCTGGATGGAGCAGGACGGGTCACAGCAGCAGAGGTGGAGTAGTCTCTGGGTGGAGCAGGATGGGTCACAAGGTGGAGCAGGTGAAAATCCACTGGAGGAATGAACCAAGCGGCTACTCCACCTCTGCTGCTGTGACCAGTCCTGCTTCACCCAGAGGCTACTAATGAGGACGGATTAGGGCCCTTTAACGATGACCTGAAAGTCTTACATATTACTAATTAAAAAAAACAATTGCATTAATTCAAAAGCCCATCACTTTTTTCAGCTCCTATGACTTTGCCGTGACTTTGCCGTTACTTTGTCGTTACTTTGTCGTGACTTTGCCGTTACTTTGTCGTGACTTTGCCGTTACTTTGTCGTGACTTTGCCGTTACTTTGTCGTGACTTTGCCGTGACTTTGCCGTGACTTTGCCGTTACTTTGTCGTTACTTTGCCGTTACTTTGCCGTTACTTTGTCGTTACTTTGTCGTGACTTTGCCGTTACTTTGCCGTTACTTTGCCGTGACTTTGTCGTGACTTTGCCGTGACTTTGCCGTTACTTTGTCGTTACTTTGTCGTTACTTTGCCGTTACTTTGCCGTGACTTTGCCGTTACTTTGTCGTTACTTTGTCGTGACTTTGCCGTTACTTTGTCGTTACTTTGTCGTGACTTTGCCGTTACTTTGTCGTGACTTTGCCGTTACTTTGTCGTTACTTTGTCGTTACTTTGCCGTTACTTTGACATGACTTTGTCGTGACTTTGCCGTGACTTTGCCGTTACTTTGTCGTGACTTTGCCGTTACTTTGTCGTTACTTTGTCGTTACTTTGTCGTTACTTTGCCGTTACTTTGACATGACTTTGTCGTGACTTTGCCGTTACTTTGCCGTTACTTTGTCGTGACTTTGTTGTTACTTTGCCGTGACTTTGCCGTGACTTTGACGTTACTTTACCGTGACTTTGCCGTGACTTTGCCCTTGTTCTTCACTCTCACTCGCCTCTCTGCAGAGTTCAATGCCACCGGTTCCCTGACGCTGCATAACCGCGGCTGCCTGGACTCAGACCTGTGCGGAAAGACTCTGACGGGCTCCATCCTCGGCGCCGGCTACACCTCCTCCTTCACCTGCTGCACCACCGACCTCTGTAACTCCGCCTCCTCGCTGTCCGTCACCGCGGCAACCATGGTCATGCTGCTCTGCTCCTTCTGGGCCTCGCAGTAGAAGAGTCCAGAAAAAGAAACAGAAAATCAGTTCAAATCAAATTTATGAAATCAATCTCAGCAATAATGAATATTCCATTACGACATTTTGATTTGTTGAATAATGTCTGTAAACAGAAGTTTATGAGAAATGCTTCATAACTGTTAATTTAACTATCCATAATTTATAATAAAATATTTTCTGAATTTCCTTTTCTTTTATTTGATTCTTGAAAACCAGTTAGTAAGTTTGGAGACTACAAACCATTTGGTAAAATAGTTTTTCTTCTCATTTCAAATCTATTCATTTTTGCACAGGTCAAAGTCACAACAGTTAGAATTCAATAGAATCGATTTTCCAACATCAGATTAGAAAACAAAATAAACTATTGTGGAAAATGAACCTCCCAGAGACGGGATCGCTGCGCACCAGAGCTTTCCTAGAACATAACATGGACACACAATCAGAACATACTAGAGTCACAACATGGACACACAATCAGAACATACTAGAGTCACAACATGGACACACAATCAGAACATACTAGAGTCACAACATGGACACACAATCAGAACATACTAGAGTCACAACATGGACACACAATCAGAACATACTAGAGTCACAACATGGACACACAATCAGAACATACTAGTCACAACATGGACACACAATCAGAACATACTAAAGTCACAACATGGACACACAATCAGAACATACTAGAGTCACAACATGGACACACAATCAGAACATACTAGAGTCACAACATGGACACACAATCAGAACATACTAGAGTCACAACATGGACACACAATCAGAACATACTAGAGTCACAACATGGACACACAATCAGAACATACTAGAGTCACAACATGGACACACAATCAGAACATACTAGTCACAACATGGACACACAATCAGAACATACTAAAGTCACAACATGGACACACAATCAGAACATACTAGAGTCACAACATGGACACACAATCAGAACATACTAGAGTCACAACATGGACACACAATCAGAACATACTAGAGTCACAACATGGACACACAATCAGAACATACTAGAGTCACAACATGGACACACAATCAGAACATACTAGTCACAACATGGACACACAATCAGAACATACTAGAGTCACAACATGGATACACAATCAGAACATACTAAAGTCACAACATGGATACACAATCAGAACATGGACACACAATCAGAACATACTAGAGTCACAACATGGACACACAATCAGAACATACTAGAGTCACAACATGGACACACAATCAGAACATACTAGAGTCACAACATGGACACACAATCAGAACATACTAGAGTCACAACATGGACACACAATCAGAACATACTAGAGTCACAACATGGACACACAATCAGAACATACTAGAGTCACAACATGGACACACAATCAGAACATACTAGAGTCACCACATGGACACACAATCAGAACATACTAGAGTCACAACATGGACACACAATGGGACCCTGTGACTGTGAGGGCCATAGCCACAGGTTCTATCCACCAACAATAAGGAAAACAAAGACGTTCGAGAGACTTCTGACATAAGAACTTCTGAAAACAACAATTGGTTCATAAACACACAATGTCACGTGGTGAAAAACAAGGAGACCCAAAAAGCAAAACTGCAAAAAAATAACGGATTTTATACAAAGTAATACAAAACAAGATCCAGCCAAAAACACAGGGACCGAGGACAGAACTGAAACAGACGAGGGACGGCAGTGACGGAACAGGAAGTGGGCTAACGAGACACATGAGGGCGGGGCATCAGACAGGAAGTACAACCAAAGAAGACACAGGGATATAACAAACTACAAAATAAAACAGGAAATAAACCAAAACCATGACATACAATGTGCAAAGGAAATAAAGCTGGTCTAACCACACCATCGTACACATTTCATTTCAGGAAATGATAATTGACCGAGGTTTACGGATGGCTCAAGCCTGGTTCACACGAGACGATTTTAAAATTGTCGACCGATTTTTCTCCGTGTTAGACCCCACACGGGGAGATTAAAAATCCTGCGTCTAACCACTTTGGTCGTGCAGTGTGTGGTGCGTAGCCACACGGCAAGATCACGCAAGCCACAAACATCACACACGAACCGACACGCCCCCCCCCGAGCATTCCCAGGTCAGACGGAAATCTCACAAAATCTCTCGAGATCAAGCGTGACTTCAGAGTGAACAGTCATGGCGGACGAAGAGGATGCAGTGGCGATAGTGTGCAGTTTGTTGTTAACAGAGAAGACACGTAATCCAAAGAAAAGGCAATGGTCAAAGCCATGCTGCTGTGTTTTGGTTTTTTTCCGGTGTTTCCTCACCGGCTTGTCACCTCGTCTTCTTATTGGCTACACGCCGTAGTCATGGCAACGCGCTCGCTTGTCCTCGGAGGACACCACACACGACGAGAAATCGGGCCAAAACAATCCAACATGTTGGATATCCCCGATTTGAGATCGGGAGCAGTCCCGATGTCCTTCCGAGCGACGAGTGCAGTCTTAACACACCACACACGGCAAGATAATCTGTAAGATTTTGTTACGGAAATCGGAGCGTTTCTTAAGATTGTCGTAAGGGGTAAATCGGGTCTAAATCGGCCTAAATATCCTGCCGTGTGAACCAGGCTTTAGGCTAGGCTAAAATAAAGCTGGAGTCCCAAACCTTTTTAGAAAATCATGTTTAAGTGACTTTTGTGACCAAATCAGATCATGACATGTGATTATAGATCTGAGGCTGTAGACCCAGGACTGAGGCTGTAGACCCAGGACTGAGGTTGTAGATCCAGGACTGAGGCTGTAGATCCAGGACTGAGGCTGTAGACCCAGGACTGAGGCTGTTGATCCAGGACTGAGGCTGTAGACCCAGGACTGAGGCTGTAGACCCAGGACTGAGGCTTTATTCTGCTAAAGTCTGATATTTTGTACTTAATTCTTGCTTCCTATTATAGATTATGATTTTAAAGCTAGTGATTGTATGTTAGGTTATTTAGCATAGATCTGTCCTGTGCTTCTCATTCCTACTGTTCTGAAGATGCAACACTGGAATTTCCCCACTGTGGGACAAATAAAGTATCTCTTAATCTTAGTCTTAATTTGGACGATGGTGTCTTAGTTAAAATAAAGTATTTTAGGTCTATTTTTAGAAGGATTTTGTTAAGATATGTTCATTATGTCCTCAGTTGTATATGTGAATGTTATGTCATACTGTTATGTGTTATGTATGCTTATTATGTCACACGAGGGCGCTGTGATGCAGGTTGACGCATAACGTCTTGTTCTAGTGATCTTCTTGCCTGAGTTCAACTTAGCGTTAGTAGCTGTATGACCGTGAGACTGATGTGTCTGCAGTGAAGGAATAAATATGCCATAAGGCTAAAGATGGCTCATCTCCATTGTTCCCTCTATTCATCCGAATGCAACGTTAGCTGCAACATTGAGGCATAACTCAAAAGATTTTGATGGGGAAACTGTAAAATTCAGAAAATATGGAGAAAATTATCTGGAAATGTTGTTTTTATGTTGATATTTTTAGGCTGGAAAACAGCAGCAGGTCCTAGTGTTTATGAAACAGTTTTTGTTTTGTGCTTTATATATTTAATTTTTCTTGCTTGTTTCTGCCTGAAATGTTGCTCCAGTTCAGTGTTCATGGTTTTACACTGGTCCAGAGCAGAGAGGATTTATGGTCCGAACATGGCTGCTCCACCTCTGCTGCTCTGACCTGTCCTGCTCCACCCAGAGACTACTCCACCTCTGCTGCTGTGACCCGTCCTGCTCCACCCAGAGACTACTCCACCTCTGCTGCTCTGACCTGTCCTGCTCCACCCAGAGGCTACACCACCTCTGCTGCTCTGACCTGTCCTGCTCCACCCAGAGACTACTCCACCTCTGCTGCTCTGACCTGTCCTGCTCCACCCAGAGACTACTCCACCTCTGCTGCTCTGACCTGTCCTGCTCCACCCAGAGGCTACTCCACCTCTGCTGCTGTGACCTGTCCTGCTCCACCCAGAGGCTACTCCACCTCTGCTGCTGTGACCTGTCCTGCTCCACCCAGAGGCTACTCCACCTCTGCTGCTCTGACCTGTCCTGCTCCACCCAGAGGCTACTCCACCTCTGCTGCTGTGACCTGTCCTGCTCCACCCAGAGGCTACTCCACCTCTGCTGCTCTGACCTGTCCTGCTCCACCCAGAGGCTACTCCACCTCTGCTGCTCTGACCTGTCCTGCTCCACCCAGAGGCTACTCCACCTCTGCTGCTGTGACCTGTCCTGCTCCACCCAGAGGCTACTCCACCTCTGCTGCTGTGACCTGAGGCTGTTGCTGATTATTACTATTGTTAGCTTTTTTAAATGATCCATTTTTTTTTTTTGCTGCTACTGGACACCTGAATTTCTCCGACGGGGATCAATAAAGTATTTGTCTATCTATATTCACAAATCCATGGAATCTCTTGAACAGATTCAGGTATTTTCATGTCATGTACATAAATAAAATACTATTATTCTTTTAGTTTGACTTCAAAAAACTCAAAGTCAAAGTCTGAGCTTGACATCTATGTATATTTTTCTTTTTTACGTGTCTTTCTAGTCACATGTCCTGGAGGTGTAGGAGTGAGCCATACATTTTACAGCGAATTTCAAAAGGATTGGAGTTGAGTTGATTCATGTGAAGGTAGTTTGGGTGTGGACCGCAGAGTTTCAACAGAAAAAGGACTTTGGTTCCAGTGACAACAACAACTGCAGACTATGCTAACATTGGAACAGGTTTGATGTGTTTAGTGGTGACATGTGACCTGTCATCAGGATCCAGACCAGACCAGACCAGACTGCAGAAGGATGTGTCTATGGTCATCTATGATTCAGACTGGAGCACCCCCTAGTGGCCATAACCATAACTACAGGTGACAAAAATAATATCTCAAATAATAACTTGACTGAAACAACTAGCATAGGGAGGGATAGGAGGTCACATGCCCGGCCTGTGTTTCCCACGGTAGAACTCTGGTGCACTGAAGGACATCTTCAAAAAATCAAAACTAAAATTATCCCGACTCAATTCTCCCTTCTGTGAAGACACAGTAAATAATGATACAAAGCTAATTCTTCATTATTATTATTTTCTTGTTATGTATTTTTTGTGTTATTTTTGTGTATTTTGTGTGTGTTTTCTATTAATTGTTTTACTTTATTTGTATTGATTTGTTTTTATTTGTTTTTTTATTATTAATATTATGTTTATTATTTTTGCATATTTTCTCCTTTTATAATGTAATCGTTCTGCTAAACAAATAATGCACACAAATGCATCTTTTTGACCAATGTATGTACAAAACCTCTGTAAACTTTAATAATTCCATCTGTATTTGACCTTTTGCGGCTTCACTGTCACGTCATGAAGGCAGCAGTAAAACCAAACACAGCCCATGACGCAAACTGTATTTCCACGCCACAGATGTCAGTGGAAAAACACAACAGCTCCCTCTAGAGGACACTTTGAGACTTTCACTTTGAGAGACTGCAGTGTTTCAAAGTCAAACATGAGTCAAACCAAAAGAACTCAAGAATAATAATATTTTTCTTTATATAAATGACATTAAATTACCTGAATCTATTCAAGAGATGGATGGATTAATGAATATAAAAGGGAACACAAAATATCCAGCTATTCCTACAGTTTCCCATCAAAATCCTTAGTCCAAAGTCCTAAAATAATTTGACTAAGGCAACATCGTCAAAATTAAGACCAAGATTAAGAGATACTTTATTTGTCCGACAGTGGGGAAATTCCAGTGTTGCATCAAAAGTTACAGAGCTGTAGGAATGAGGAGCACACAGCACAAAGTGAATATTAAAGGTTCCATATTAGGCTTTTGTTCTTGTTTCTGTCAGTCCTGTGTGACAATAATGTGAGTGATACAACCGCCCCCCGCCCTCACCCGACTCCCCCCGCCCTCACCTGCCTACCCCATCTCTCACCCGACTCCCCCCTCCCTCACCCGCCTCCCCCCTCCCTCACCTGCCTCCCCCCGCCCTCACCCGCCTCCCTCACTTGCCTCCCCCCTCACTCATCCAACTCCCCCCTCCCTCACCCGCCCGCACAGTGTTGGAGTTGTTTATCACCAGTACATTTGAGACCTGTGAATAAACGTTAATCGAGCCTCATGTCCTCGATGCACAATCAGACCCTAATTATTATTTATTAATAGTTTATTTGGTTGGAGCAGAACATGTTCATGAACACGTCACTCTGGATCGTAGCTTTGGGCTGATTTGCTTTCGTTGTCCCACAGTCGCTCTCTCAAACACACACTCATTCACCCTGAACTATTGCACATGTTTTTAGTGGTAGGGGAAACTGGAGCACCCGGAGGAAACCTACGCAGACACGGGGAAAGGCCCTGTTCAAACCGGGATTCGAATCTAGAACCTTCTGGGTTAGTTTACAGAAGTATACGGAGTGTTAGCATCACTGTACTCACAGATCGGAAGGGTCCGTGTTACGTTTTTTATCGTGGGAATAATCAGTTTTTGAGTAAATCCAGTTCCATTGTCCCTGTAGTTCTGGAAGTGTCGCAGATGAACACATTCAAAGAGAGACAGATTCCCGTGAAAAAAGTCGAGCTGCTTTCTTCCTCTTTGGGCCAAATAGTGCGTCACATATTTACACCCAAAACAAAAGCAGAAAAACAGTAGCTCCATGTGGTGTCCGTGGGACCAAACCACAGATACGCTGGACTGGCTGCGCGCTCTGATTCGCTGTTTTGATCTGTCAATCACCTCCCGGCTTTTAGTATTATTTTTTTACAACAAACAGCATGTTTTGACAAAAGTATTTAAAAACCATTTTAAATACAAAGCAAACAGGGTTATGCGCGTCATATTGGTCATCAGAGTGGTTATCGTCACAGATGTGGACCCGAACGTTTCACTGCCTCTCGAGGGGGAAGGAGACAGATCGCTCTAAAGATTGACAGAATCAATGAAAAAACTACTCTGGGCAAACAGGACTGTAATCATGTTTAAAGCAGAGAAAAGTCAAAAAGCATAATACGGGACCTTTAAGTACAACACAACTCTATACATTTTAAAAGTCTCAATCTTTAGCCTGATAAAGAAACAAAGTATTAAAAGTATGAACAAATGAGGTCTACTCCTGTATTCTGTAGTGCAATAGACCTGTGTGTCGACATCTGGAGGTACATCTGTAATAACACTCTACTTCCTTCTATATAATGTGTTGCACTGTAGGCAAAGGGAAAACCAGGGAGTTGAACATTAGCATTAGCAACACAATCATTGTCCAATGATTGTCGAATGAATAAATAATCTAAATAAAATAAAAAGTGCAAAACTGTTAAAGAAAGAACCGCCCTCTTCACTTGTTGATCAAAACTCTCTGGTCTTATTTGACGAGCACATATCACCAGAATGATTGACAGTTGGGAGGACCAATAGTCTTGATGATCCTCCTCTATATCTTTAAAGTAATATGTCATTGGCTCTAAGGGTTAAAATATTCTCAGCGATGCAAACACTGTACGTGTTAGCAGCATGAGGCTCTGGGATAAGTGACCAAAGTGACAGTGGACCAGAGACTGTTTATATTAACAGTGACACACGTGGTCACTTATTGCACATTCTTGCACATTATTGCACAGATGCATAACAAAACCTGACCCACTAAAAGCTGACACCATAAGTAAAGATAGATTACCTCTGACGTGCCTTTCCCATCCTCATCACTGCCCCTGGCTCCTGAAGCCTCCTCCTTCTCCGGAGCTCTGGGGGCGGGAGTGACTGGTCTACGCTGCTCAGAGGGCATCGTCAGCGGCTGCAGGAAACCAAGACGCCTCGGTGAAAAGTACCCCCAACGGAGCTCCACCGACCTGGACAAACACACAACTCCACGCACTTAGAAGGTAAACTTTCTCCACAGACATGACCTAACTCTCAAATATGGCTGTTTGGGAATGTTTTTTGTAGTTTGTGAAGCTGTAACTTTTCCGAGTTGGTTTCTCCTGTAGCGGAAGAAGATGGGTTGGGCTCACAGACTGTAATGTTGGCTCTGCTTTGCCTATGACTGTTCTCTCCATAAAACAACTGTAAACTATTATTTTACTTTTATTCCATCTTTGATATGTGCTTTTCTCGTTTGGACAGACCCTTGGTGGAGGTTTCTGAGCCAAAATGAGCGACGCGAACCCTCCCAGAGTCGAACTTTTTGTGAAGGTAAAATAAATACACATTGATGAATGAAGAAAAGACGTCATTCACGGAGCGCACGCGACGTCAAACTCCCGCGTGCATGTCAGTTACATTTAGTTTTAACTGAGCGCCATTTTGTACTTTTCTAAGTCATCGCATTTGTCTCTGGTTTTGTGTTACATATTTATAACGTGTAATTTGCTGTAATGACCAGTGCTAGCCCACGTTGCTGACTCACCAGGATTTATAAACGTGCTTTTAATCCCTCAAAGCAGCAAGCAGACATGGTGTAGGCTAATCCTATTTTCTGTTGGTAAAACATACAACAGCCTGCTCTAATAATGTATAATAATGGTCTGTGGTGACTGCCTCAAAGTCAGAGGTTTCAATCTAATTTGTGGAGGTTTTTCGCCTTAAATTACAACAGTATTTTTTTCGGAAGACTTTAAAAAGTTGTTGAGATTACAGAATCAAATAGTTAGAACACAGGAAATGCAATGCGAATAGAAAAAAACCTCTACCCTATGAACCATTAGTCCATAGAAAGTGGGATGACCATTGTCCATAAAGTCCATAAATATCCTTACACCATTCTGCAGAAACCATGGAGAGGCCTACACTGAGAGAAAGGTTTGCTGCGACGAATGGACAGACCGTAGATCCAGGACTCGGGCTGTGGCGCAAACACCAACCCATACAAAACAGACAGAATTATTCATAATATTATGGCGAACGTGTTGCTTTGGGGGAAGGACATGATGCAAAAGGTTGAGTGAGTAAACTGCAAAGTGGCTGGATGCTCCCTTAGAGATCGGAGCAGCTCGGAGTAGAGCCGCTGGTCGGTTTGGCAGGATCTGATGATTATGAGTCAAAAATGCAGATCTGTTTATTGATCCGAATTGGGTCAAATGTGTGCTCACGCTTGACCTTATTTCTCTTGTAATTACAAAACCTTTTATCGTCCTGAAACCCAGCCAGCCAGTGTGAGATTAATAAAGTATATCTTATCTTATCTTAAATGCCAAAAGATGACATTTGAGTATAACTGAACCATGACCACGTTTACAGGAGATAATCCAAATGCACAGCTGTAAAAAGCCTTTCTCCGTTTCTTCGTTTACTTTAGATCTTCAGCCTTTTTCTGTTGAGGTCAAATGTTGGTTCGCTGCTCGGATCTTAAAGCAGAAGTTCCCTATTTGAAAATGGACTTCCTTAATTATGTGTCTAAGTCTGTGGCAGAGGCGCTGAAGGAGAAACGGCTGTCTTGCATCTGTATGTTTCAGCTTCCCACAGTCAGAGACCCAGCTGCAGCGAGAGCCGAGCGTTCGCTTCCTGAGCTGCACATTCGATACTTGAATCTCTCATGACTGGTTTAGAATCAGACACAGTGTATTGTTACCAGGGCTGAAGTCATAACATCTGTCTGGGGGCAAAGGGGGTTTTCTTAGCGACAAGTTTTTTTATAGCTTATCTTTAGCAACTGGCAATTACTTTTTTTTTCACATTATCTGAGTCTTAATTATTTTTATTTAAGGAGGTCACAAACTAAATTTGCTTTGGCTCATGATGCATTTTTTTAAAGATAAAAATCAATATAAGAATGAAAATCCTCATAGAATTTTTTCATTTTACTACTAATATACTGTAGATATGAAGATATTTTAACAAAAGGATTACTTTTGTTTGTCATGAGTTTGGATATTATTTTATGGTAGCTGATTTCCACCCTTCCCCTGACGAAGAAATGAACAATGTGGAAGAAAATGGCTGGATCAAAAGGATTTCAGTTATGTTTTGGATTGACTCAAAAATTAATTAAAGATACCACTAAAACTTGTTTTTGTAGACTGGTAGGTCAATTATGAAATGCTTTTATCAACTATTTGTAATTATGTCTTGGATCAAAATGTTATACTAGATTAAATGACATGGTTGTGTTCTTGAGGAGGGTTTTACAATGAGGTTTAACATGCCAGGGTTCCTCCTACATCAATGCTGCACGTGTATCATTCATCTATAGCTGTATTTTCGGCAGAGGACCCAAGTTTATCATAATAATTTTAAAATAATTTGAGGGCCCCTAGAACAGACTCCTGCTGGTTGCATTTGACCCGCTGCCCGTGCGTTTGACACCTATGATTTATGCGCCAAATTCTCCACAAATACTTTGCAAACTGTGCTGTTGGTTTAAGGATTGAGGCTGAGATTACGTTGCCAGTTCAAAACGAGAGATGTAATGTTTACGATAATATTAGGCAAGGCAAGTTTATTTGTATACACATTATTCATACACAAAGAAACTCAAAGTGCTGAACAAAACATATATCGGTTCTGTTCTTGTACTTTTTTAACTTTTAATAATCCCACATACAGAATTTTGGGAATCCAGATTACAGATACAGATTTTTACCCTTTTATTTTGACACTTTCCTGTTCCCTGCGGTGAAAATCTGACAGGGGTCTAAAAACTCGCCAACCTTTCCCACTGTTGTCGCTGCCTGACACTGCATTTCAACACAGGGCCGCGGCGGGAAAGAACTTGGTGATGTCACTTCCTGTCTCCATATAACAACATATTTTGACACATTTCAGAACAATTGCAGACAGATAGATTGATAGATACTTTATTGATCTTCTGTAGGAGAAATGTATGTGTCCAGAAGCAGAAGACTCACACAGTGTACAGTCTGAGTGGAGTTTGCATGTTCTCCCCGTGTCTGCGTAGGTTTCCTCCGGGTGCTCCGGTTTCCCCTACCACTAAAAACATGTACAATAGGTCTAGCATGCATTACTTACTAACAGTGAACAGTCTGACAGCCGACTGAGACCTAAGTTGTGTGTCTCCGTGTGTTGTCATTGATCGGTCTGTCCTCTGGTGCTGGACCTTCTTTCAGGCGGGGAACGACGGGCAGAGCATCGGGAACTGTCCTTTCTCTCAGCGACTCTTCATGGTCCTGTGGCTGAAAGGAGTGACCTTCGACGTGACCACGGTCGACATGAGGAGGTGAGGAACCACAGACGCCCTGGAGCCAGTCTTTACCAAAGTAACGGATTAGAAAGAGGTCTTATCATCCGAGCACAAAAACACAGTTACTAAACCTGTCTCGATAAAACATTCATGGACGATATCCTTTTTTTATTTGAAGCTAGCATAGCCTTGATACCGACGAGTGTTGCTATAAATGACTATGACATGACTGATGCCACTGGTACGATTCAAATACATCAGAAAAATCCATGAAAGAATTTTTTTTCATTTGTTTCTATTATTAAAAAAACTCTTGAACTGAAATAATGTAGATTTTGATTTATTTATTTATACCTTCTTGTTTTTATTCTGCCTTAACGTGTTTGCACCGAGAGCCAAAGCAAGTTCCTAGTTTGTTTTACTCACATGGTAATAAAAAGGATTCTGATTCTGAAATAAACGACAGAATGAATCGATCATTAGCATTAGCCACATTAGCCATAGCTTATATTTTCTCACTATTGCAGAGAATGCACACACTCAATACTTGTTATATTTATAGATAGAATCACCTGCGCTTATTTCTCTCGCTATTTAAGAATAAATATATCTGTATATTTTGTGTGCTCCTTGTGCGGTCTCGCTGCTGTCCTGTAGGATCAGTGTGGAACAAATACAGGTTCTCTTTTATGTCAAGGCCCTAAATATTTTGGTGCCTCTTTTAGTTATTGAACAATGAATCAATACAGCAGTTGTCATGCTAGGTCTAACTGCTACAGGACTCAATTTGTGCTAAATCCACAACAGTTTATTTTCAGTTTGACTTTTTAATCTTGTACCAACATCATTCAATATCATCAAAAACATTCCAGAGTTGTTTCTAGCTCCGTCCATAATAATGCAAACGGTTTCTTCCTGATGTGATATTTCCTCATTTAAACACCAAACACATGTGTCTGCTGCTGTTGCCTCTGTCGGTGTTTTAACCCTGATGACCTCATTGTTTCTCTTCTCTTCCCGCTGTGTGCGTCCGGTCGCAGGAAGCCCGAGATCCTGAAGGACCTGGCGCCCGGGGCCCAGCCTCCTTTCCTGCTCTACGGCAACGAGGTCAAGACGGACACCAACAAGATCGAGGAGTTTCTGGAAGACACCCTCTGCCCTCCAAAGTAACTTATGACCGGCTGTTTGTCAGAAGAATCCGATATTCATAGACACTAACACCAGGGACTAGACAGGGCTGTAGTCAATTAAAAACACATAATAACAACAATAATAATAATATTGATACATCTGTTTTTGGGCACTCAAAAGCCGTGTTTCCTCCAGCCCTACTTGGCCTTACTCGACTCGGCTCTGCTCTACCCTGATGTGTTTCCATTACGCTTTAGTATCTGGTGCCGTATCCTAGCAACCGTTCCAACAACAATTCAGTATCCAGGAAAATGTGTTGGTAACGAGGGCCTCCAGCAGCACTCTGGAAATCACTGTCAATATGAAGACTTTAGGACCAGTTCGAATAGAACCAGGGCCAAGCGGGTACTAAAACAGTACCTGGTAGGGATGTAAATCGGCGACCGTTTAACCGGTGGTTGACCGTCACAGCGTTAACCGGTCAAAGCTGTCGGTTAAAAAAGAGAAAAAGGGGAGAGGGGAGGTCTCTTAATAACGCTATTTTAAGCCCTATTTGCACGGTGTGACGAGCGGGTCTGTATCTAGCTGTGTGCGCCCATGTATTATAAACTCCGGGACGACTCTCACGCCGCACGAGCCACATATGCGCACGCACACGCACGCACGCACGCACGCACGCACGCACGCACGCACGCACGCACGCACGCACGCACGCACGCACGCACGCACGCACGCACGCACGCACGCACGCACGCACGCACGCACGCACGCACGCACGCACGCACGCACGCACGCACGCACGCACGCACGCACGCACGCACACACACACACACACACACACACACACACACACACACACACACACACACACACACACACACACACACACACACACACACACACACACACACACACACACACACACACACACTTTCCCCCTCTCCCCCTCTCCATACGTAACATCCACACGCATCATCTCTCCCCTCTGTTACCGTCAAAGTTGCACACTGGCGCGGGTCAGAACTACATTGGAGCTTAGATTTACACACACACACATACACACATATACATACACACACATACACACACACACACCGGTCTGTCGAGCTCCTCTGTGTCACGGAGCCCAAAGGATTCGCGCAAATACGCGGCTCCAGTCAAACCACATGGAACATGTTTGTGTTTATGGTCCTCGGGATCAGCTCCACACACATCACTTGTATTTAAACTTTTGTGAAGACCTGTGAGACGCGGCTCGTCACTCGCTGCTCTGACCATGTGAACGAGCCGTCGTTTGCTGCTAGAAAGTTTTGGTATTAACCCGCAGCACAGCAGAATGGGAAGATTAAAAAAGCAGTTCTCTGTGCGCAGCTGTTGCGGGTTTTGGCGCCGCTGTCTCGGCTCTGATCCAGTAGAACGCAGAGCTGCTCTTATGAGAAGTACGCGGCTCAAAATGGCTGTTATTTCAAAGAACGTGGACTATTTTAAACTACGCAGTTAAACGGTTTCAACCGGTTAATGAGGCTCGGTGGTCGGTCATGAAAATTCATAGTTTTTTACATCCCTAGTACCTGGTACCGAACCGGGCCAGTGGAAGTCGGGTGGAGTAGAGCTGGTGGAAGGAGATTACTTTTCAATCTAAGTGAATATGAGCCAGAGCGAGTTGGAGCAAAACTTTGTCTATGAGCACTTCCCTGATGAGCGTCGTTGAGCTCGGGGGTTAGCATTGTCCCGCTTCATCCAGTCTGTGGTCCAATAAACAATGAATAGTTAATAGATCAGTAGAACAATTAATTTTCATTGAACTGAAGAATTATCATAAAACTATGGTTTGTTTTAAAGGAGCTATACCTGTTTCTGCAGGTTTGAATGTTTAGCCCCGCCCCCAACTCACTCACAGGCTTCTCATTTCCCCCACGCTCTCCTCCCACGGAGCCATTTAGTTTTATTTGAGATCTGATACGTATGCTAGCATTAGCATTAGCACAACTTAAGCTGCACAACAATCACTGATGAAATGGTACAAAAGCAACGCACTGATAACAAAATATAAAACTGAAAGATTACTGCTAGTTTCGGGTCCGTAGATAGTCCGAGCGCAGATAGTCCGAGCGTAGATGGTCAGAGCGTAGATGGTCCGAGCGTAGATAGTCCCAGATAGTCCGAGCGTAGATAGTCCGGGCGTAGATAGTCCGAGCGCAGATAGTCCGAGCGCAGATAGTCCGAGCGCAGATAGTCCGAGCGCAGATAGTCCGAGCGTAGATAGTCCGAGCGTAGATAGTCCGAGCGCAGATAGTCCGAGCGCAGATAGTCCGAGCGCAGATAGTCCGAGCGTAGATAATCCGAGCGTAGATAATCCGAGCGTAGATCGTCAGAGCGTAGATAGTCTGAGCGTAGATGGTCAGAGCGTAGATGGTCCGAGCGTAGATAGTCCCAGATAGTCCGAGCGTAGATAGTCCGGGCGTAGATATCCGAGCGCAGATAGTCCGAGCGCAGATAGTCCGAGCGTAGATAGTCAGAGCGTAGATAGTCAGAGCGTAGATAGTCCGAGCGTAGATAGTCCGAGCGTAGATAGTCCGAGCGTAGATAGTCCGAGCGTAGATAGTCCGAGCGTAGATAGTCCGAGCGTAGATAGTCCGAGCGTAGATAGTCAGAGCGTAGATAGTCAGAGCGTAGATCGTCAGAGCGTAGATAGTCTGAGCGTAGATAGTCTGAGCGCAGATAGTCTGAGCGCAGATAGTCCGAGCGTAGATGGTCAGAGCGTAGATGGTCTGAGCGTAGATAGTCCCAGATAGTCCGAGCGTAGATAGTCCGAGCGCAGATAGTCCGAGCGCAGATAGTCCGAGCGTAGATAGTCAGAGCGTAGATAGTCAGAGCGTAGATAGTCCGAGCGTAGATAGTCAGAGCGTAGATAGTCAGAGCGTAGATAGTCCGAGCGTAGATAGTCCGAGTGTAGATAGTCAGAGCGTAGATAGTCCGAGCGCAGATAGTCCGAGCGTAGATAGTCAGAGCGTAGATAGTCAGAGCGTAGATAGTCAGAGCGTAGATAGTCAGAGCGTAGATAGTCCGAGCGTAGATAGTCCGAGCGTAGATAGTCCGAGCGTAGATAGTCCGAGCGTAGATAGTCCGAGCGTAGATAGTCAGAGCGTAGATAGTCAGAGCGTAGATAGTCCGGGCGTAGATATCCGAGCGCAGATAGTCCGAGCGCAGATAGTCCGAGCGTAGATAGTCAGAGCGTAGATAGTCAGAGCGTAGATAGTCCGAGCGTAGATAGTCCGAGCGTAGATAGTCAGAGCGTAGATAGTCCGAGCGCAGATAGTCCGAGCGTAGATAGTCCGAGCGTAGATAGTCAGAGCGTAGATAGTCAGAGCGTAGATAGTCAGAGCGTAGATAGTCCGAGCGTAGATAGTCCGAGCGTAGATAGTCAGAGCGTAGATAGTCAGAGCGTAGATAGTCCGGGCGTAGATATCCGAGCGCAGATAGTCCGAGCGCAGATAGTCCGAGCGTAGATAGTCAGAGCGTAGATAGTCAGAGCGTAGATAGTCCGAGCGTAGATAGTCAGAGCGTAGATAGTCCGAGCGTAGATAGTCCGAGCGTAGATAGTCAGAGCGTAGATAGTCCGAGCGTAGATAGTCCGAGCGTAGATAGTCCGAGCGTAGATAGTCCGAGCGTAGATAGTCAGAGCGTAGATAGTCAGAGCGTAGATAGTCCGAGCGTAGATAGTCCGAGCGTAGATAGTCCGAGCGTAGATAGTCTGAGCGTAGATAGTCTGAGCGTAGATAGTCCGAGCGTAGATAGTCCGAGCGTAGATAGTCCGAGCGCAGATAATCCGAGCGTAGATAGTCTGAGCGTAGATAGTCAGAGCGTAGATAGTCCGAGCGTAGATAGTCCGAGCGTAGATAGTCCGAGCGTAGATAGTCTGAGCGTAGATAGTCAGAGCTTAGATAGTCCGAGCGTAGATAGTCCGAGCGTAGATAGTCCGAGCGTAGATAGTCCGAGCGTAGATAGTCTGAGCGTAGATAGTCAGAGCGTAGATAGTCCGAGCGTAGATAGTCCGAGCGTAGATAGTCCGAGCGCAGATAGTCCGAGCGTAGATAGTCCGAGCGTAGATAGTCCGAGCGCAGATAGTCCGAGCGTAGATAGTCCGAGCGTAGATAGTCCGAGCGTAGATAGTCCGAGGCGGTCCCGCAGGTCTCTCCCATAGACCAGTCTCTCCAGAGGATACGATGTAAGCTAGCTCTGTTCAGGGCTTGGTTTCTTCTTTGATCATGTTGTGGCTTTAGTTCCTCTTCTCTTCCTCACTGTTGTGTGGTTTGGGCTGTTTTGCTGTGTCTGCAGTTACAGCCAGAGGAGTTATAGCCACTTATGCTAACATGCTACTGTGTTTAGCAGCGCTGTAGAGGCTAGAGGAGGCAGCCTCGCTCTGTGATTGGAGGAGAGCGGGCGTCACGCTAAGTCTCTACTCAGCACTTTTTACTGAGTTCATACACAGCTGAATGAGATCAAATTTTACATTAAATTACAGATTATAATACAATTTGTATGTAGTGATAAGCTTTTTTATGAACTCATTAGAAGATAAATTGGGTATAACATCTTTAAGTTTATGTGAGGTTCAAAAGAGGATTTGGAGACAACTGTTTTAATAATTAGTTTTGTGTTAAAACCTGCTTGTAAAACCTGCTTGTTGTGTAACTGTTGGTGTTGGGTGTGTTGCAGATATCCACGTTTAGCCGCTCGTAACCCAGAATCCAACACTGCAGGAGTCGACGTCTTCTCCAAGTTTTCTGCCTACGTCAAGAACTCCAACCCACAAATGAACGACAGTGAGACACACTTCTCTCTAACGTAGTTTGGTTTAGTTCCACTTTAAAATGAGGATCAGGATTAAAATGAATTGTTTTCTGTTTTTTCTGTTTTTGTTTTAGTCAAGGATGGATTTATATAAACATTGAATTGGCTAAAAAAGTGTTGCATTTTCCCTTCTGTTTGTGTGTGCGTTTGTATGTTTATGTTTGTGTGTGCGTGTGTATGTTTACGTGTGTGTCTTTGTTTGTGTGTGCGTTTGTGTGTGTGTTTGTTTGTACGTTTGTGTGTGCATGTGCATATCTGTGTGTGCATGTTTATATCTGTGTGTGTCTGTGATTGTTTGTGTGTGCATTCGTGTGCATTTTTTTTGTGTGTCTGTTTGTGTGTGCGTCTGTGCATGTTTTGTGTGTGTGTGTGCAACTGTGTGTGTGTGTGTCTCTGGGTGTGTGCACCTGTGTGTGTGTGCGCGTCTGTTTTTTTGTGTGTGTCTCTTTGTGTGTGTGTGTGTGTGTGTGTCTGTCTGTCTGTCTGTCTGTCTCTGTGTGTGTGTGTCTGTCTCTGTGTGTGTGTGCATGTTTTTTTGTGTGTGTGTCTGTCTGTCTGTCTGTGTGTGTGTGTGTGTGTGTGTGTGTGTGTGTGTGTGTGTGTGTGTCAGACCTGGAGAAGGGCCTGCTGAAAGCCCTGAAGAAGCTGGACGACTTCCTGGGTTGTCCACTTCCTGATGAGATCGACGAGAACAGCGCCGATGATGTCACTTCCTCCTCGCGCAGCTTCCTGGACGGAGCGGACCTGACGCTGGCCGACTGCAACCTGCTGCCCAAGCTGCACATCGTCAAGGTAACCGCTCTGTGCCCCAGGGTTGGCATCCACTAGAGCAGCCCCCGTAGAGCACAGATGTGTGTTCTCTCTGTCTCTGACCAGTGTGTGTGCTCCTTCAGGTGGTGTGTGTTCTCTCTGTCTCTGACCAGTGTGTGTGCTCCTTCAGGTGGTGTGTGTTCTCTCTGTGTCTGACCAGTGTGTGTGCTCCTTCAGGTGGTGTGTGTTCTCTCTCTGTCTCTGACCAGTGTGTGTGCTCCTTCAGGTGGTGTGTGTTCTCTCTGTCTCTGACCAGTGTGTGTGCTCCTTCAGGTGGTGTGTGTTCTCTCTGTGTCTGACCAGTGTGTGTGCTCCTTCAGGTGGTGTGTGTTCTCTCTGTGTCTGACCAGTGTGTGTGCTCCTTCAGGTGGTGTGTGTTCTCTCTCTGTGTCTGACCAGTGTGTGTGCTCCTTCAGGTGGTGTGTGTTCTCTCTCTGTCTGACCAGTGTGTGTGCTCCTTCAGGTGGTGTGTGTTCTCTCTCTGTGTCTGACCAGTGTGTGTGCTCCTTCAGGTGGTGTGTGTTCTCTCTGTCTCTGACCAGTGTGTGTGCTCCTTCAGGTGGTGTGTGTTCTCTCTCTGTGTCTGACCAGTGTGTGTGCTCCTTCAGGTGGTGTGTGTTCTCTCTGTCTCTGACCAGTGTGTGTGCTCCTTCAGGTGGTGTGTGTTCTCTCTCTGTGTCTGACCAGTGTGTGTGCTCCTTCAGGTGGTGTGTGTTCTCTCTCTGTGTCTGACCAGTGTGTGTGCTCCTTCAGGTGGTGTGTGTTCTCTCTCTGTCTCTGACCAGTGTGTGTGCTCCTTCAGGTGGTGTGTGTTCTCTCTCTGTGTCTGACCAGTGTGTGTGCTCCTTCAGGTGGTGTGTGTTCTCTCTGTCTCTGACCAGTGTGTGTGCTCCTTCAGGTGGTGTGTGTTCTCTCTCTGTGTCTGACCAGTGTGTGTGCTCCTTCAGGTGGTGTGTGTTCTCTCTGTGTCTGACCAGTGTGTGTGCTCCTTCAGGTGGTGTGTGTTCTCTCTGTCTCTGACCAGTGTGTGTGCTCCTTCAGGTGGTGTGTGTTCTCTCTCTGTGTCTGACCAGTGTGTGTGCTCCTTCAGGTGGTGTGTGTTCTCTCTGTCTCTGACCAGTGTGTGTGCTCCTTCAGGTGGTGTGTGTTCTCTCTCTGTGTCTGACCAGTGTGTGTGCTCCTTCAGGTGGTGTGTGTTCTCTCTCTGTGTCTGACCAGTGTGTGTGCTCCTTCAGGTGGTGTGTGTTCTCTCTCTGTGTCTGACCAGTGTGTGTGCTCCTTCAGGTGGTGTGTGTTCTCTCTCTGTGTCTGACCAGTGTGTGTGCTCCTTCAGGTGGTGTGTGTTCTCTCTGTCTCTGACCAGTGTGTGTGCTCCTTCAGGTGGTGTGTGTTCTCTCTGTGTCTGACCAGTGTGTGTGCTCCTTCAGGTGGTGTGTGTTCTCTCTCTGTGTCTGACCAGTGTGTGTGCTCCTTCAGGTGGTGTGTGTTCTCTCTCTGTGTCTGACCAGTGTGTGTGCTCCTTCAGGTGGTGTGTGTTCTCTCTGTGTCTGACCAGTGTGTGTGCTCCTTCAGGTGGTGTGTGTTCTCTCTCTGTGTCTGACCAGTGTGTGTGCTCCTTCAGGTGGTGTGTGTTCTCTCTCTGTGTCTGACCAGTGTGTGTGCTCCTTCAGGTGGTGTGTGTTCTCTCTCTGTGTCTGACCAGTGTGTGTGCTCCTTCAGGTGGTGTGTGTTCTCTCTGTCTCTGACCAGTGTGTGTGCTCCTTCAGGTGGTGTGTGTTCTCTCTCTGTGTCTGACCAGTGTGTGTGCTCCTTCAGGTGGTGTGTGTTCTCTCTCTGTCTGACCAGTGTGTGTGCTCCTTCAGGTGGTGTGTGTTCTCTCTCTGTGTCTGACCAGTGTGTGTGCTCCTTCAGGTGGTGTGTGTTCTCTCTCTGTGTCTGACCAGTGTGTGTGCTCCTTCAGGTGGTGTGTGTTCTCTCTCTGTCTGACCAGTGTGTGTGCTCCTTCAGGTGGTGTGTGTTCTCTCTGTCTCTGACCAGTGTGTGTGCTCCTTCAGGTGGTGTGTGTTCTCTCTGTGTCTGACCAGTGTGTGTGTGCTCCTTCAGGTGGTGTGTGTTCTCTCTGTGTCTGACCAGTGTGTGTGCTCCTTCAGGTGGTGTGTGTTCTCTCTGTCTCTGACCAGTGTGTGTGCTCCTTCAGGTGGTGTGTGTTCTCTCTCTGTGTCTGACCAGTGTGTGTGCTCCTTCAGGTGGTGTGTGTTCTCTCTGTGTCTGACCAGTGTGTGTGCTCCTTCAGGTGGTGTGTGTTCTCTCTCTGTGTCTGACCAGTGTGTGTGCTCCTTCAGGTGGTGTGTGTTCTCTCTCTGTGTCTGACCAGTGTGTGTGCTCCTTCAGGTGGTGTGTGTTCTCTCTCTGTGTCTGACCAGTGTGTGTGCTCCTTCAGGTGGTGTGTGTTCTCTCTGTCTCTGACCAGTGTGTGTGCTCCTTCAGGTGGTGTGTGTTCTCTCTGTCTCTGACCAGTGTGTGTGCTCCTTCAGGTGGTGTGTGTTCTCTCTCTGTGTCTGACCAGTGTGTGTGCTCCTTCAGGTGGTGTGTGTTCTCTCTCTGTGTCTGACCAGTGTGTGTGCTCCTTCAGGTGGTGTGTGTTCTCTCTCTGTGTCTGACCAGTGTGTGTGCTCCTTCAGTTGGTGTGTGTTCTCTCTCTGTGTCTGACCAGTGTGTGTGCTCCTTCAGGTGGTGTGTGTTCTCTCTCTGTGTCTGACCAGTGTGTGTGCTCCTTCAGGTGGTGTGTGTTCTCTCTGTGTCTGACCAGTGTGTGTGCTCCTTCAGGTTGTGTGTTTGAAGTACCGTAAGTTCAGTATCCCAGAGTCGCTCTCCAACCTGTGGCGTTACCTGAACGCAGCCTACGCCCGCGAGGAGTTCGCCTCCACCTGCCCCGTGGACGACGAGATCCACTTCGCCTACTCCTCAGTGGCTAAAGTGCTCAAGTAGGACCAGACCACCGGGACCAGGGACCAGGGACCAGACCAGCTACACAAGTACACAGACCAGAGTAGGACCAGGACACACGGAACCAGGCCACACCAGCTACACACACACACAAAGGTGCTAAAGATGCTAGTAGAGCAGGAGCTAAGTAAAAAAATAATCTTTCACTTTGGCATAAAAGCAGGAAAAATATGAACATTTATAACAATTTGAAAGCTCACAGAAGAATGAGGAAGGAAAAGGAAGGAGGTATTTTTGCTGGGTCAGATGTAAAAATAGTTAGCTTAACATAAACTTGTCCGGTTGGCCTCAAATATAAAATCTTTGCACCAATATGAGCCAAATATTTCCATTATGCAGAGGGTGTGTGTTCCACTGTTGACCACTAGGGGTGCAATCCTTTTCCTCAGCTGTTTCTCCGGCTCAAATCTATTTACAATCTACCGATCCATTCACAGACTTGATTAGGAGCATGTTGTGTATTTTAAAGAGTGCCAAATGTCGAGCTGTTATCCCAACGTCGTCCATTCTGTTGAAATATGCAACAGTGGAGTAAATTTTCTTTGCTTTGTGAGTATCGCGTTTCGTAAAATTGTCATATTGATGTGAGGGGAAAGTATTATGAGGGTGTTAAAGCTGGGGCACCTAACTTTTTCTTCATAGATAATACATTTTTGTCTAAATCATGCTGGATCTACCTTCTCAGGGCGGCACGGTGGCTGAGTGGATAGCACTCTCGCCTCTCAGCAAGAAGGTCCAGGGTTCGAATCCCGGTCGGACCAGGGCCTTTCTGAGTGGAGTTTGCATGTTCTCCCTGTGTCTGCGTAGGTTTCCTCCGGGTACTCCGGTTTCTCCTACCACTAAAAATATGTCCAATAGTTCTGGCATGCGCCTCCTGTACTGGCCCCGCTCCCATCTCTGTGTGGAGTGAGAGACAAATGCCCAAAATTAACAATTGTAAACCGCTTTGAGACTCAGATCTGCAGTGAAAAGGCGGTATATAAATAAAAACTTACTTACTTACTTCTCTTTTGAGCTGAGTAAGACTTCTTGTGAAAACATGCATGTGAAAAGTCGTATAGCCCCAGGAGAGAGCGAGGAGCTGGATTTTATTACCCACTTTTACTTTTTGTGTTTTGAAAATCAGGTACACAAAACACGCATTGATTATCGTCTCTTGATGTTGCATAATACTTCTCAAAGTACCTTTACAGTCCTTGTTATTGTTCAGTGCTTGACAATACCAGATCTTCATACAATCAGATAAAAAGAGATCGTCTGGGAACCTGAAAGTGTCAAAGAGAAGGATGAGAATCTGCAGGTCACATTTCAGATCATATTTGCGTTTCTTTTTGTGGTTTAACTGGTTCGGCAGGTTTTAGACATCAATGTGTTTGAATTGAGTTTCACCCTGTGCTGAAACTGTCGCACAACCCGGGAAATACTAAAGGAAAGAAAGAGGAACTTATTTATTCTGTGGTGTGCAAAGAAAGAGCTGCAGTGGTAAAGTCCAGAGTAGGATTTTTATGGAGAAAAACAGGGAAGATTTTGATTCTAAAACATTAGTGAATATTGTCAAGAGCAGGTTTGTCGAACTCATTTGGGTTCGAGGCAGAATAAAAACAATAGGAAGTGGTCGGGGGCAAAAGAATAGAATTGATTTTTACATTATGGAGGTATTTTGACATGACTTTCTCTATTTTCTGGTTTCTTTTTCAAACAAAAACTGAACCAAATATAAAGTTAAACACATTGTTTTGTCTGTGTTGGGTTAAAATGTTACAATAAGACAAATTATCAAGTGAAAAGTCATATTAGGGGCCTCTAAAAATGGTGTCGCGGGTTGGATTTGGCCCTCGAGCCTGAGTTTGACACGTCTGGTCATAAATGTGAACGACCAAAATGTGTGTGTGAGAAATTGGACGATGCATTTTAAGACTCTACAATCTAACTTTACGTCTGTCCAAGTTTTTATCTATCTATCCATCAAAAATAACGCCAAATTATGCAAAAACATCCTCAAAGACCCACAAGACGCACGAGGCTGAGAAGATTTCAATGAATCTAAAATAAAAATCATAAATATTGTAGTTATAGTCGTATCTGTTTGTTGAAATGAGGCCAAAACAAAGCATTTATGTATTTATTGAACGTGGAAACTCGTGATGAAACCGCGCTGGATCTTAGTGGTTGTATTGTTGTGATTTGAGATTTAGGGACCGCAGCTTTAAGAAATTAGCCCAAAACAAACCCAGTCCTGTTTTTGCTGTAATTGTTTTGTCACATCATGACAATAACATGTTGAGTATAGACAGGAACAGTCATTTCTCACAAAATCACAACGTGAAACTTGACAAAATTCTGCAGACATCCCTGAAGCGAGACAGCGGCAGGTTTGTGGTCGAGTCTCATGGTTGTTGCCGGACACATATGTTCAGTTTTCAGTGTCAGTTTCCCAAAGCTTCTCCGAGACAGGAAGCCGTTTCAATACACGACACTTCCCCTTTAAAGAGAAGCAGGAAGGAGATTTTTTCACCCACATTGTTTATACGTCACCAGATATTAGTATTTGTCTGGATTTTGAGCATGTAGTGTTAAAGTCCTGGTTTATTTTGCTTTTAAGACAATTTTGGACACAACATGTTTCATGATCTGTCGTCATTTTGGTTCTTTTTAACATGATCCTGACAATATTGACTTTGGGATTTCATGTTTTAGACTGAAAAAGAATCGATCAGGGAGAAAAGAAATGGACAAACCTGACAAATAGAGTAAGAGACAAACTACACACAGTTGTATTTCGATCTAAATCTAACATGGCACAGTCTAATTGAACCGTAGACATGCAAATATAACAAAAAACATATCTTTTGACAAAGGGAGATTTGAAAATGCATCCACTTGATCTGACAGAAAAGTTAAAGGGATTCAAGGTGTGTGTGTGTGTGTGTGTGTGTGTGTGTGTGTGTGTGTGTGTGTGTGTGTGTGTGTGTGTGTGTGTGTGTGTGTGTGTGTGTGTGTGTGTGTGTGTGTGTGTGTGTGTGTGTGTGTGTGTGTGTGTGTGTGTGTGTGTGTGTGTGTGTGTGGCAATATTAGGTAACCATGGGAACCAGTTTATGCAATTTTCACAAATGGAAACTTCACTTTATTGTCACTGTTTCTGACAATAACTATTTCAGAAAATGAAAAAACAATCAGAGGAGTAGGACCAAATAAACTGGAAGAATGTTTAAAAATCAACAAACTAAACTAAACCAAGTCACAAGTTTAAAAGCCATATCTTAAACTCCTATTTTGTTTGTGAATTTTGATGAAATGAAGGATATTTTTAGGGAATTCTTGTACTGTGTGTATTCAATGCAAAGAAAAATCTATTTATATATTTTGCGAACCTCAATTAAACCCCGAGGTCTATGTCCATGTATTTGTTGTTTATGTTTATGTGAACAGTAGACGGCACAGGGAGATGCCAGACTTATTTTTATGTGATTAGGGCCAAAGTCAGGGCTGAGGTTTTTATTATAAGACTCCTTTAACTCATTGACTTCCAGCTGTTTTTGATTATTTCACTGACTTTCAAGACCCACAGAATATTATGTGTTGTGTCTATGTGAAATATGAAACCAGATCCTGAAAGACTGGATTATCTACTTTCATCAGCAAAAATAAGTTTGTCTCTAGCTAGTTTTGTTCTCCTGTAATCCCCAGTCAAAAAGAGAGAAGTTAGACAGTTTCAGTATTATTGATTAAAACCCTTATATTAGATCAGTCCCTGTGACTTAGATCCAAGTATGTGGATAGAGAGTACTTTCTCTTTGACTGTAGCTGGTGTGGCGTGTGCACAGGTGCCCCTCATAATCCCACAATAATCTGTATTTACCATAAACACTTCAGTGGATTAAACAAACGTGTTCTGCTGAAACGAAGAATCATTCTCGTTTTGAGTTTGAGCTTTTTACAAACCCCTGTGTTTTTACGTCGTCCTAAAGAATTTTCCAAAGTGCACTTACAGCAGACTTCACGTTCTGTCGAGACTTTCAACTGTGGCATTTGTGTAAAAAGGGAAATATGGTCTTAATATTTCAAGACTTGTTGTTATTATTGAGCTCAATGGACCAACTCTGGTTTATGTATTTATCCCATTTATAGCGTTTCTGAGTCTACTTTTGAGAGAAAAACAGATCCAGGGTAAATATGACCATAAATCATTATTATTATCACAATATTATGAAGTCTGTTACTGTATTACTGCTATATTTTGGTCATAGTGACTGGTGTCGTTGCTCCGTCCATGAGATTTCTTCATTTATGAGCTGCACGATTAATATATTCACCAGGACTGGGATTTAGACTGAGATTAGCAGTTCCCTTTTTAAAACTATTCCGTAAGAGTGTCGCAAAAACCTGGGAACATTTTAAAGGAAATATGAACTGAACCGAACCTCAAGAAATGCAGTTTTATTTGGACAACGACATGTTTTATGTAAGAACAAACTTTCTTGATCTTGATTTGAGAATGTGTATTTTCAAAAGTCTCTGGAAAGTCACAAATCCAGTTTTAAAACGGTTATTTGCTCACATCAAGACAAATGCAACGCCACATATACAAAACTTTTTATACTAATTTGAAGCTTATGTATTTCATAAATGTGTTTTTTTTTTTTTATCACTTGTGAGCTTTTCAAAGTTCACTCATGTTTTTTATCAAATCTCTGTCGATGTCACACATTAGATACACATTTAAAAGTCTGTAATGTTATCAAGTTAAAAAACAGACAAAATTGATTCTTGGGGTGAACTATTCTGACAATTTAAGGTAATTTTATGGGGCCTTCCTGACTGGTGTGACTTTATGATTTGCTAATTAATACCAATCTATATCATTATTATTTAAAATGTGTGTGTAATTGAAAGCCAAAAACAAATGTCTGCTGTCACTAAAAACACTTATGAATGTGCGGAAATGAAGTGAATATGATTAATCTTGCAGCTTTTTAAAATATTTCTAGAAAGAAGTCGATCAAATGTAATTGCATTTACTGCCTGAAACCAGAGAGGGCGCTGTTGAGCTCAGTTGGGAAATCTCTTTGTATGCTCAGATATAAAACCTATTTTTCTATCTTTCATTCACGTAAAAAGCCATTTCGTGTTTTTTCTTTTACATTGTGTTTTTTCTCACATCTTTGCAAAAATATGTATTATTGTATTATTGCTTTTGTTTATGTATTTCTCGTGTTTTAGCCACTGAAGAATTTGTCCAAACGAGTTCCTCCGTTTAAGCAGTGGCAGAAATGAAGGCTAAAGAAACATGTAGTTTTACAAAGATCAGTTTATTACAATTTCAATAAAGTTATATTCAAAAGTTGCTTCTGACGTTATTATGTTAGCATGTTAGCAGACAGGACGTGTTTTAATATAAGAGACATATTTATAAGAATCCTGGGTTATGACTTTACACTCGGGTGAAAGGCTTTGTACGGTGGCCTTAAAGGGTCAAACAGGTAAATGAGTACAATACTAAAGAAGGACATGTATCAAACTAAAACGACCTTATTATCACTGTCGGCTTAATGTGTCATTGTTTGTGTTTACTTTGAATTATTCTTTGTTCAATTCATTACAATAAAAGAAAAGGAGAAAGACGTGTGTTGTTTTGTTTTCTGCACCTTTTTACCATTTCTTTTACAGTATTACAAAGATTACATTTGATAAATGTTTGGCTAAACTCGTCAGAACTTACATAAGACAAATGTATAACTGATGTTTATTTATAATAAACCATATTAAATCATCTGTTAACGGCTCTGGACTTTTAGACACAAGAAGAAAATGGAACAATTACTATTTTTCTAAATATATTTAAAATATTCTTAATATACTTTCATGGGGTTGTGTCCTCGCTCCATCTGCACTAGTGACATAGGAACCAACTCAGACTCTGAGCACAGGGACTGGCCTCCTGCTGGGACTCTGAGGAGCACAGGGACTGGACTCCTGCTGGGACTCTGAGGAGCACAGGGACTGGACTCCTGCTGGGACTCTGAGGAGCACAGGGACTGGACTCCTGCTGGGACTCTGAGGAGCACAGGGACTGGACTCCTGCTGGGACTCTGAGGAGCACAGGGACTGGCCTCCTGCTGGGACTCTGAGGAGCACAGGGACTGGACTCCTGCTGGGACTCTGAGGAGCACAGGGACTGGCCTCCTGCTGGGACTCTGAGGAGCACAGGGAGGACTCCTGCTGGACTGGCACAGGACTCTCCTGCTGGGACTCTGAGGAGCACAGGGACTGGCCTCCTGCTGGGACTCTGAGGAGCACAGGGACTGGCCTCCTGCTGGGACTCTGAGGAGCACAGGGACTGGCCTCCTGCTGGGACTCTGAGGAGCACAGGGACTGGCCTCCTGCTGGGACTCTGAGGAGCACAGGGACTGGCCTCCTGCTGGGACTCTGAGGAGCACAGGGACTGGCCTCCTGCTGGGACTCTGAGGAGCACAGGGACTGGACTCCTGCTGGGACTCTGAGGAGCACAGGGACTGGCCTCCTGCTGGGACTCTGAGGAGCACAGGGACTGGCCTCCTGCTGGGACTCTGAGGAGCACAGGGACTGGACTCCTGCTGGGACTCTGAGGAGCACAGGGACTGGACTCCTGCTGGGACTCTGAGGAGCACAGGGACTGGCCTCCTGCTGGGACTCTGAGGAGCACAGGGACTGGACTTCTGCTGATGCCCAGGGTCAGGACTAAACATGAAGTAGTGTTTCAGTCTTATGCAGCTAAAATCAAGAACAATCTTCCTGAAAATGCGAGACCGGCTTCTTCTCTGACAAATGTTTAAATATATACAGTCTATGGTTTAAATCCAGGTTAAAACTGTTATTTTTCGCTGCACAAAACTGAAGGATTGTTCTGTGATTATTTATACTTTTAATTAATGCCTTGTGTGTTAATGTTGGTTTGTGTATCAAGTGTGCTAACAGCCTCGCGCGGGTGTTGCATGTTCTTCCATCAGTAGAGAAGCAGAACCAGGCCGGGCAGCAGAGGCAGCAGTGAGGCTCTTGGGCCGTAGGGGGCGCTGTTGCACAGGTCGGTGTCGCAGCACAGGTTGGTGTAGTTGAAGTAGAGGCCGGCGGAGTACTTCTGCCCGCTCACCCCGCACTGGGACGGCACGGCACAGCTCTTCTCATACATGGAGACAGACAGCGCTCCTGCAGAGAGGGGAGGGTCACTCATAAGATACTTGGTTCGAGTCCCGGTCAGAACAGGGCCTCTCTGAGAGGAGTTTTTATTTATTCTTTTGGTTGGAGGATAAGCCCCTAGAGAGGAAAATGGACTGAATGGTATATACAGTGAAGCAGACAATAAATAATAAAATTGGGGCAGTATTAGGGCAGTATTGGGGCAGTATTAGGGCAATATTGGGGCAGTATTAGGGCAATATTGGAGCAGTATTAGGGGAGTATTGGGGCAGTATTGAGACAGTATTGGGGCAGTAATGGGGCGGTATTGGAGCAGTATTAGGGGAGTATTGGGACAGTATCGGGGCAGTATCGGGCAGTATTGGGACATAAACATCTGTGATTCTATGCATTTGATTTGATTCTGTTGTAAAAGTGAATTTCATGCAGCAAACCACTTGACACGCCTAAAACGGACCAGAAACATCATGAATTACATTCTGGCTCTCAACAACTGTGATTCTATGCATTCTATGCAGTATTGGGGCAGTATTAGGGCAGTATTAGGGCAGTATTGGGGCAGTATTAGGGCAGTATTAGGGCAGTATTGGGGCAGTATTAGGGCAGTATTGGGGCAGTATTAGGGCAGTATTGGGGCAGTATTAGGGCAGTATTAGGGAAGTATTGGGGCAGTATTAGGGCAGTATTGGGGCAGTATTAGGGCAGCATTGGGGCAGTATTGGGGCAGTATTAGGGCAGTATTAGGGAAGTATTGGGGCAGTATTAGGGCAGTATTGGGGCAGTATTAGGGCAGCATTGGGGCAGTATCGGGGCAGTATTAGGGCAGTATTGGGGCAGTATTGGGGCAGTATTAGGGCAGTATTGGGGCAGTATTAGGGCAGCATTGGGGCAGTATTGGGGCAGTATTGGGGCAGTATTAGGGCAGTATTGGGGCAGTATTAGGGCAGCATTGGGGCAGTATCGGGGCAGTATTAGGGCAGCATTGGGGCAGTATTGGGGCAGTATTAGGGCAGTATTAGGGAAGTATTGGGGCAGTATTAGGGCAGTATTGGGGCAGTATTAGGGCAGCATTGGGGCAGTATCGGGGCAGTATTAGGGCAGTATTGGGGCAGTATTGGGGCAGTATTAGGGCAGTATTGGGGCAGTACCTCTCCGTCCCGTGGCTTCGCTGAAGAGGCAGCGCTGACCGGCCGGACACTCCTGAGGGAACTTGAAGCAGTCCAGAGGAGAGATGGCGGGAAACAGACACGTGTAACAGCGGAGGCCGACTGCAGACAACACATTGTTACTGAGGGGCCTCGTAGAGCACAGACCGCTGCCGACAGGTGCAGTTCCATCCAAATATATTATACTGCTCCAACATGTTATCAGTTTCCTAAAATCACTTTCTGAGTCACTGTTGCTCACAGACAAACAAAGGTAAATAACTCTTTATCCTGAGAATGATAAAGCAGTTGAGTCTAACACTGTTTTACTATAAACTTGAAACACAGATAATTTATGCAGTTTACACATTTATTAAAGAACATTAGTTATACTTGTTTATTCGAAAACACAGTTGAGAGCAACTAGATACTTAATTACATTACTATATTGCTTTGAAGTATAACAAAAGTGAAATGTAATGAAACTTATTGTTTTTATTACATTTTAATTGTTTTTACTGCGTACATAATGTTTTACTTTTTCTATTTTTTTTTTCACATGAAGCTGATAAACCTGTGTAGTTAAATGTTTTACTTTTATCTCTGTGCAGCACTTTGGAAACTTATTTTATAAAATGCGCTATATAGATAAAGTGGATTGGTTATTATCAGAGAAACTCCAGTTCATACTAAAAAACATAAACTTTAAGTTCATACGAGGAATCAAAGACTCTTTATAATTATTATAATAATATATAAAAAAATATGTACTTTATAATTGTTTGTCCTCTGTCTTTGACCCTTGATTGGCTCTCAGGCCTCTGTCAGGACCATCCCCAGAGGCTCGGCTCGGCTCGGTCTGGACTGACACTGCAGGATTCCAGCTGATTCACACTGAGAAGCGAGAGGGCTAACCACTCTGCCACCGTGCAGTGAGCCAAAGCTTTCACATCAGTGTTTTTAGATCAGTAATATTGTAAGACATTATTTATATAATGTATATCATTATCAGAGTAACTCTCCAAACTATGACATGAATATTTAAGAGGAGCAAAAGTCTTGGTTTTCTTTGTAGTTTTTATATTCATTCCAAAGTCACATCTGCTGCTCATGTCCAACACCAGGACGTCAAATTACAACATTTAGAAACATATTATAAATTCATAATATTTTACATTATGAACATTTGACATGAATCTCTGGCCTGAAGCTGCCGGTCTCGGTCCAGGCTCAGCCCAGGCCCAGCCCAGGCCCAGCCCAGGCTCAGCCCAGGCCCAGCCCAGGCCCAGCCCAGGCCCAGCCCAGGTCTAACTGTTATTTGATAGAGAAGATCAAGGGTCCTCAAGACAAAGGACAAGTAGTTGGTGCAGCATTTCTTGACCTAAAAAAGGCATTTGATACTGTGGATCATAGCGTGCTCTTCACCAAACTCCAGCTCTTCAAAATGTCACCAAGTTCCTTGGCTTGGTTAAAATCATATTTGGAAGGAAGGGAGCAGTGCGTTAAGGTTAACGGGGCGATGTCAGCTCTCTGCCCTAACAACATGGGGGTTCCTCAAGGGTCAGTACTGGGGCCATTGTTGTTCACTATGTACATCAATGACCTCCCTAATAGTTGCCAACTGCCATCTGTCTGCTAAACCCCAGCTCTGGCAGCGCAGCAGTTGACACTTGCCCTCGGAAACATCTCCAAATGGCTCGAGTTGTCTCACTTAACCCTAAACGTAAAGAAAACTGTTGCTGTGTGTTTTTCAATTAAAACAAAACCGTCTGACAGCCCCTTTGAAGTAAAAATAAACAACAAAATTATTCAGGAAGTAAAAGAGACCAAATATCTTGGAATTATTCTTGACAACAACCTCAAATTTCAAAGTCAAGTCAAAAATGTCTGTAAAAAGGTCAAATCCAACTTCAATTGTTTTCGATGTATCCGGAGGGAGCTGTCCCATCAGGCCGCCCTGTTATACATGCCCTGTTATACATGCCCTGTTATACATGCCCTGTTATACATGCCCTGTTTTAAATGCTTGAACAGTCGTGTGTCGCCGCTGTTTTCTGCTCTCATTGTTCGGCGTCAGGGTTCCACCAGAGCTTCACCAAATCCTTTGGTCAGTCAAGTTTCTCCTTTAATGGATCCAAACTGTGGAACTCTCTGCCCAGTGATTTAAAACTGCAGACTGACATGAACAGTTTTTATAGAGGTCTAAAACAGTGGCTAAAGTCAAATCAAAGCTGCACACATGTATGAAATGAAATCGACATTGATAATATGTATTACTTACCTTTTTAAATAATGTATTGTGTACTGTATTGCATTTTTTTTTATTGTGTTGTGTTTTGTGTAGGGGCTCTCCTCGCCTTTTATGGACAGGTGTTGCAAATTAGCAGTCTTGCTATATCACTAAAAACAATGTATCTGGTTTGTCCAATGCTATTGTTATGTTCATACCAAATAAATAAATAAATACAAATAAAAAGTCCAGGCCCAGTCCAGGTTTCAGCGAAGCCCTCAAAGCTTCATGGTCAATACCAACCTTTGTTTGCAGTTGCACTAATCAGATGTTTTCCACCACACTGCACTTCATTTCCGTCCCATCCTTCTGTTCTTTCAGGCAGATCTGTGCAGCTCTGTATCTTTTGGATAATAACATTTATCGTTTATAAAAGTGTGTTACCTGTGATTGGGAGGCAGCAGAGGAGCAGCACCAGGGCGTCGCACCGTCCCATGTTGCTGTTGCCGTCTTCTTCCTCAGACGCAGGACTGTCCCATGGAGCTGCAGCTGATCCACGACACGCCTCCAATTCACTCAAATTCAATTACTATTTCTTTTAAAGTTCAAGCGATGCTCGTCCTGCTATCTGAAAACGCTCAAAAAACTTTAGAATGTGTGTGTTTCGATGGTGTGCTTCCTTCTGTGTGGGATAGAGCGTGAACAAAGTCTGCTCTGTCTCTGCTCAAACAAAGAAATCTTCTGTCGCTGCGGTCCCTGAGGTCCCTGAGTCTGAGGTCCCTGAGTCTGGGGTCCCTGAGTCTGAGGTCCCTGAGTCTGAGGTCCCTGAGTCTAAGGTCCTGAGTCTGAGGTCCCTGAGTCTGAGGTCCTGAGTCTGGGGTCCCTGAGTCTGAGGTCCCTGAGTCTGAGGCCCTGAGTCTGGGGTCCTGAGTCTGGGGTCCCTGAGTCTGGAGGTCCCTGAGTCTGAGGTCCTGAGTCTGGGGTCCTGAGTCTGGGGTCCTGAGTCTGGGGTCCCTGAGTCTGAGGTCCCTGAGTCTGAGGCCCTGAGTCTGAGGTCCTGAGTCTGGGGTCCTGAGTCTGGGGTCCCTGAGTCTGGGGTCCCTGAGTCTGAGGTCCCTGAGTCTGAGGCCCTGAGTCTGGGGTCCTGAGTCTGGGGTCCCTGAGTCTGGGGTCCCTGAGTCTGAGGTCCCTGAGTCTGAGGCCCTGAGTCTGAGGTCCTGAGTCTGGGGTCCCTGAGTCTGAGGTCCCTGAGTCTGAGGCCCTGAGTCTGGGGTCCTGAGTCTGGGGTCCCTGAGTCTGAGGTCCCTGAGTCTGAGGCCCTGAGTCTGGGGTCCCTGAGTCTGGGGTCCCTGAGTCTGGAGGTCCCTGAGTCTGGGGTCCCTGAGTCTGAGGTCCCTGAGTCTGAGGTCCTGAGTCTGAGGTCCCTGAGTCTGAGGTCCCTGAGTCTGAGGTCCTGAGTCTGAGGTCCCTGAGTCTGAGGTCCCTGAGTCTGAGGTCCTGAGTCTGGGGTCCTGAGTCTGGGGTCCTGAGTCTGGGGTCCCTGAGTCTGAGGTCCCTGAGTCTGAGGCCCTGAGTCTGGGGTCCCTGAGTCTGGGGTCCCTGAGTCTGGAGGTCCCTGAGTCTGGGGTCCCTGAGTCTGAGGTCCCTGAGTCTGAGGTCCCTGAGTCTGAGGTCCCTGAGTCTGAGGTCCCTGAGTCTGAGGTCCCTGAGTCTGGGGTCCCTGAGTCTGAGGTCCCTGAGTCTGAGGCCCTGAGTCTGGGGTCCTGAGTCTGGGGTCCCTGAGTCTGGAGGTCCCTGAGTCTGAGGTCCTGAGTCTGGGGTCCTGAGTCTGGGGTCCTGAGTCTGGGGTCCCTGAGTCTGAGGTCCCTGAGTCTGAGGCCCTGAGTCTGGGTCGAGGTCCTGAGTCTGGGGTCCTGAGTCTGGGGTCCCTGAGTCTGGGGTCCCTGAGTCTGAGGTCCCTGAGTCTGAGGCCCTGAGTCTGGGGTCCTGAGTCTGGGGTCCCTGAGTCTGGGGTCCCTGAGTCTGAGGTCCCTGAGTCTGAGGCCCTGAGTCTGAGGTCCTGAGTCTGGGGTCCCTGAGTCTGAGGTCCCTGAGTCTGAGGCCCTGAGTCTGGGGTCCTGAGTCTGGGGTCCCTGAGTCTGAGGTCCCTGAGTCTGAGGCCCTGAGTCTGGGGTCCCTGAGTCTGGGGTCCCTGAGTCTGGAGGTCCCTGAGTCTGGGGTCCCTGAGTCTGAGGTCCCTGAGTCTGAGGTCCTGAGTCTGAGGTCCCTGAGTCTGAGGTCCCTGAGTCTGAGGTCCTGAGTCTGAGGTCCCTGAGTCTGAGGTCCCTGAGTCTGAGGTCCTGAGTCTGGGGTCCTGAGTCTGGGGTCCTGAGTCTGGGGTCCCTGAGTCTGAGGTCCCTGAGTCTGAGGCCCTGAGTCTGGGGTCCCTGAGTCTGGGGTCCCTGAGTCTGGAGGTCCCTGAGTCTGGGGTCCCTGAGTCTGAGGTCCCTGAGTCTGAGGTCCCTGAGTCTGAGGTCCCTGAGTCTGAGGTCCCTGAGTCTGAGGTCCCTGAGTCTGAGGTCCCTGAGTCTGGGGTCCCTGAGTCTGAGGTCCCTGAGTCTGAGGTCCCTGAGTCTGAGGTCCCTGAGTCTGAGGTCCTGAGTCTGGGGTCCCTGAGTCTGAGGTCCCTGAGTCTGAGGTCCCTGAGTCTGAGGTCCCTGAGTCTGAGGTCCCTGAGTCTGAGGTCCCTGAGTCTGAGGTCCTGAGTCTGGGGTCCCTGAGTCTGAGGTCCCTGAGTCTGAGGTCCCTGAGTCTGAGGTCCCTGAGTCTGAGGTACCTGAGTCTGAGGTCCCTGAGTCTGAGGTCCCTGAGTCTGAGGTCCTGAGTCTGGGGTCCCTGAGTCTGAGGTCCCTGAGTCTGAGGCCCTGAGTCTGGGGTCCTGAGTCTGGGGTCCTGAGTCTGGGGTCCCTGAGTCTGAGGTCCCTGAGTCTGAGGCCCTGAGTCTGGGGTCCCTGAGTCTGGGGTCCCTGAGTCTGGAGGTCCCTGAGTCTGGGGTCCTGAGTCTGGGGTCCCTGAGTCTGAGGTCCCTGAGTCTGAGGCCCTGAGTCTGGGGTCCCTGAGTCTGGGGTCCCTGAGTCTGGAGGTCCCTGAGTCTGGGGTCCCTGAGTCTGGGGTCCCTGAGTCTGGAGGTCCCTGAGTCTGGGGTCCTGAGTCTGGGGTCCCTGAGTCTGAGGTCCCTGAGTCTGAGGCCCTGAGTCTGGGGTCCCTGAGTCTGGGGTCCCTGAGTCTGGAGGTCCCTGAGTCTGGGGTCCCTGAGTCTGAGGTCCCTGAGTCTGAGGTCCTGAGTCTGAGGTCCCTGAGTCTGAGGTCCCTGAGTCTGAGGTCCTGAGTCTGAGGTCCCTGAGTCTGAGGTCCCTGAGTCTGAGGTCCCTGAGTCTGAGGTCCTGAGTCTGGGGTCCTGAGTCTGGGGTCCTGAGTCTGGGGTCCCTGAGTCTGAGGTCCCTGAGTCTGAGGCCCTGAGTCTGGGGTCCCTGAGTCTGGGGTCCCTGAGTCTGGAGGTCCCTGAGTCTGGGGTCCCTGAGTCTGAGGTCCCTGAGTCTGAGGTCCCTGAGTCTGAGGTCCCTGAGTCTGGGGTCCCTGAGTCTGAGGTCCCTGAGTCTGAGGTCCCTGAGTCTGAGGTCCCTGAGTCTGAGGTCCCTGAGTCTGAGGTCCTGAGTCTGGGGTCCCTGAGTCTGAGGCCCTGAGTCTGGGGTCCTGAGTCTGGGGTCCTGAGTCTGGGGTCCTGAGTCTGGGGTCCCTGAGTCTGAGGTCCCTGAGTCTGAGGTCCTGAGTCTGGGGTCCCTGAGTCTGGAGGTCCCTGAGTCTGAGGTCCTGAGTCTGGGGTCCTGAGTCTGGGGTCCTGAGTCTGGGGTCCCTGAGTCTGAGGTCCCTGAGTCTGAGGCCCTGAGTCTGAGGTCCTGAGTCTGGGGTCCCTGAGTCTGAGGTCCTGAGTCTGGGGTCCTGAGTCTGGGGTCCTGAGTCTGGGGTCCCTGAGTCTGAGTCTGAGTCTGAGGATTTTAATTATAGTTATAATAAGTTAGATACTTTATTGAGCCCTGTTGGAGAAATGCAGGTGTCCAGCAGCAGAAACACATCCATCAAAACTGTAACGTGGTGGCAAAGAACCCAGACGCAGACCAGGGCGGTGTAACACAAATCTTTACTTGAGCAAAAATACAAAAAAAACAGTACACAAGGCACGGGAGGAAACCAGAACAGGATCAGGACTGGGGTCGGGCATGGCAGAGCGGAGAACTGCAGAAACGACAAAACAAGGAGGTAAGTAAAAAATATATCTTCGCAGAGTAACAAGGTAAGTAGGCTAGACGCACTGGAACTGAGATTAGGATCTGGCACTGAGGAGCTGGCTTCAGAGGTCCTTGTATCCGCTTGATTGAAGAGTGGAGGCAGCTCCAACACACCTGTCCCTGCTCAGGGAACAGGTAGGGGAGGGGGATGAGGCAGAGACTCCTGGAGTATCAGGGGAGGGAGGGGCTGCTGGAGGAGCAGCCCTGACAAAAACAAACAAAACAAATAAATATTTCATTCTAAAAGTATCTAACAATAGTAATAATAATAATAGTAATAATAATAATAACAATAGTAATAATAATAATAACAGTAGTAATAATAATAATAACAATAGTAATAATAATAATAACAGTAGTAATAATAATAATAACAATAGTAATAATAATAATAACAATAGTAATAGTAATAATAATAATAACAGTAATAAAACACAGCAGCAGAAGTGGAGCAGTCTCTTGATAAAAGTTAAATGTTAAATGCTTCATTAGCATGTTGGTCTCCCACCTGATGAAGACCATGGAGCGGCTCATCCTCACCCATCTCCGCTCCGTGGTCGGAGTAGAGGACGCCGTCATCTACTTCCTGCAGCGGACGCTCTCCCACCTGGAGCCCGCACAAGAAGGGCCAAAGTGGCCTCTTCCTTCTGAGGAGGCTGAGGTCCTTCTGAGGAGGCTGAGGTCCTTCTGAGGGGGCTGAGGTCCTTCTGAGGAGGCTGAGGTCCTTCTGAGGAGGCTGAGGTCCTTCTGAGGAGGCTGAGGTCCTTCTGAGGAGGCTGAGGTCCTTCGGAGTGAGCAGGCCTCTGCTCAGGACTTTTTATGACTCTGTGGTAGCTTCTGCCATTTACTACGCTGCCGTGTGCTGGGCCCCGGGCAGCACAGAGCGGGACAGAAACAGACTGAACAAGCTGGTCAGGAGGAGGTGAGGGACAGGAGGCCCTTGGACTCTGTGGAGGAGGTGAGGGACAGGAGGCCCCTGGACTCTGTGGAGGAGGTGAGGGACAGGAGGCCCCTGGACTCTGTGGAGGAGGTGAGGGACAGGAGGCCCCTGGACTCTGTGGAGGAGGTGAGGGACAGGAGGCCCCTGGACTCTGTGGAGGAGGTGAGGGACAGGAGGCCCCTGGACTCTGTGGAGGAGGTGAGGGACAGGAGGCCCCTGGACTCTGTGGAGGAGGTGAGGGACAGGAGGCCCCTGGACTCTGTGGAGGAGGTGAGGGACAGGAGGCCCCTGGACTCTGTGGAGGAGGTGAGGGACAGGAGGCCCTTGGACTCTGTGGAGGAGGTGAGGGACAGGAGGCCCCTGGACTCTGTGGAGGAGGTGAGGGACAGGAGGCCCCTGGACTCTGTGGAGGAGGTGAGGGACAGGAGGCCCCTGGACTCTGTGGAGGAGGTGAGGGACAGGAGGCCCTTGGACTCTGTGGAGGAGGTGAGGGACAGGAGGCCCCTGGACTCTGTGGAGGAGGTGAGGGACAGGAGGCCCCTGGACTCTGTGGAGGAGGTGAGGGACAGGAGGCCCCTGGACTCTGTGGAGGAGGTGAGGGACAGGAGGCCCTTGGACTCTGTGGAGGAGGTGAGGGACAGGAGGCCCCTGGACTCTGTGGAGGAGGTGAGGGACAGGAGGCCCCTGGACTCTGTGGAGGAGGTGAGGGACAGGAGGCCCCTGGACTCTGTGGAGGAGGTGAGGGACAGGAGGCCCCTGGACTCTGTGGAGGAGGTGAGGGACAGGAGGCCCCTGGACTCTGTGGAGGAGGTGAGGGACAGGAGGCCCCTGGACTCTGTGGAGGAGGTGAGGGACAGGAGGCCCCTGGACTCTGTGGAGGAGGTGAGGGACAGGAGGCCCCTGGACTCTGTGGAGGAGGTGAGGGACAGGAGGCCCCTGGACTCTGTGGAGGAGGTGAGGGACAGGAGGGTGCTAGCCAAAGCCACCTCCATCATGAACAACACCTCCCACTGCACAGGACTGTAGAGGAGCTGAGGAGCTCCTTCAGTGGAAGACTGAGACACCCTCAGTGTAGGAAGGAGCGCTACCGCAGGGCCTTTATCCCCACCGCTGTCAGACTGTACAATAAGTCACTTTAAATGATCACTGTGTGAAAACCTGCACTACTATCCTCCTCAATTGTAAACCGCTTTGAGACTCCGATGTGCAGTGAAAAGGCGGTATATAAATAAAGATTACTTACTTACTATTGACACTGTTTCCAATTGACACTTGTCACTTTTGTTGTACATAATTATTGTCACTTTATTGTACATATATATCCTGCATGTAACATGTTTGCACATTTCCTCCCTTTGCACAATCTGAGTGTTCTATCCGTGCCAAATGTGACATGTACATTTCTCCTCTGAGAGATAAATAAAGCACATCTTATCTTATCTTATTCCTCCAGTGGATTTTCTCCTGATCCACTTGGTTCGGACCATGAATCCTCTCTGCTCTGGTCTGGACCAGTGTAAAACCATGAATCCTCTCTGCTCTGGTCTGGACCAGTGTAAAACCATGAATCCTCTCTGCTCTGGTCTGGACCAGTGTAAAACCATGAATCCTCTCTGGTCTGGACTAGTGTAAATCTAACATTCTAAAGTATTTAACGTGTCCTCTGATGAATTACTGACAGAGTTTAGAGTTTCTGTGACTGTGACGTCTTCTCTGCAGGTTCTTGAGCAGTTTGTGTTTAAGTGAGTTATGAGTAATGAGGGACGTGAGGAACCATGAGCTGCTCTGCTGATCCAGTCTTGTGACCAGAGAGAAGTGCCTTTTTAAACACTCAAACACACACAGACAAACAGACACACACACACACACGCACACGTTTTTGTTACCTGGTGGGTCCCTTTGACAGGGCCGTTCAGAATGGGACCCATAGACATAATCTTTTTTTACTGGGACTACTTTAAGAGATACAAAACAGTCAATAGAAAACAAACAACTCTTTTAAAGGAATTATATTTTTGATATTTTTTTTCGAATTGCAGTGATTCTATTTTTGACATAGAATTTAATGCCACTCCATGTCCGATGTCTAAGGTCATCTGGTGAGGCATTAATGCAGGCCAGGCCAGGCCAGGCCAGGCAGTGAGACTTCCCAGGGACCTTTCCAGTCCGTATGAAAGGTGTCATGGTCTTCTCCACAGCCTTCACCTCAGATGCAGACCATGGCTTTCTTACACGTTCTAGGGAGAGAAATAAAAATTGGGTTTGGGAGCGTCGCAAGAGTGCATCGTCCAGCTCACAAAACTGTATTGGAACGTAAGAATGGCACCGCCAAAGAAAAACATAACTTTTGAAGAGGCTGGCGATCTTAGAAACTCACTCGAGTTGTTAAGAGAGGATGTTGCCAAGATACGCGAGGAAATCGAAAATTTTACAGGAAATATTTCATAACAAAGCAAAAAAGCACTTAATTAAAAAACACAAAACACACACACACACACAGGGTGTAGCGGTTAATAATCACTACAGATTATGTTATGAGCAGACTAGTACGGATAGTATCCAAGGTCAGAGGCTGGCCCGTCCTATTCGAGTGGGGGATCTGTTTTAATTTGAGGCACCAGCAGACGTTGATAAGGTCCTGCACAGATCCTAAACCAAACTTTGCCCTCGAGTCAGTCTTATACATCAAAAGGTAGTTAATTCGTAAATCCGGCCAGGGGATCCAGGGATAGACCGAGATCTAACAAAACACGACTCTGATGGGGTTGAGTTAAAGAAAAGGGGTTTATCTGATTACAAAGTGGGTATAAACATATAACGAAAAGGGATTTCTGGTCACAATTTAATACGCAGGGTTCGCCTACACATATACTATATACTTTGAGCCGTTCCGGAGGGAGGGTAGGTGACTGGATGAGGATGGAGTGGAGGCATGAGAATGAAGAATAGGTGGAGGCGATGTCGTCCACGTGGGTTTCTTTGTCCGGTGCAGGGCGGGGGAGTTATGAAGCCAGGCGACGGCAGGCCCAACTTTGGATCCAGGCGTGCACACTCAGTCCGGAATGAGTCAACGTGCGCAGAGTCCGAGCCAGGGCCGGCTGGGCTGGTTATGAAGAGTTCATAAATCCCAACCAGAAAATAGGTTTGCTTGAAAGGGAAAGTCTCGATGCGGACGGGCACCGTCGTTGCTGGAGGCACGTACTTGTGCTGCCGCAGAGTCCGATAGGGAGGTTGCGATAGTGATTTCAGGAGAAGACAAGAGGCAGAGTACAATGGCATTGTGAGAGTTTATATTGACTTCTAAAGGGGGCGTGTCCATGCCTTCCCTCTCTGTGGACAGAACCCTTCACAACGGACATTTTGCAAAGGAAACCACAGGATTGATGCGAATGATCACAACACATGTACAAACACACAGTGCATTTTACATCACAGCCATTAAACACACGAGTATGGTCCGTAACGTTAATATCATTGAGTAATGTCCCTTTTGGAGTGTCCGTCTTGGGTGCGGTAGCGTCCAGTGTCCGCTAGGGGGCGCCAGAGGGCCGCGGGCGGGTGGACCCCCCTTGGTCCGTGGGATGCATTTGGTGGTGACAAGTGCTGATTTTTAATCAGCTTCTCTGTTGACATTGAAAAAGGCACCAGATGGGTATCCCGCTGTTTTTATTGGTCCGTTCTGGCGTCTGTAATCCTCATGATGGATGGCTGCTGCCTGTGGCTGAACCCCATGGGTCCTTTGAAGTTGTGGTGAGGGTATTATCTCCATTTGGTCAATGGTTCACAGAGAAGACAGGCCCGGGCCGGCCCTGTCTCCCGTTTTAACCTTACATACCCCCCCCCACGGCAGAGATGCACCTTCCGACAAGGTGCATGTCATGTCGGATAATGCCCGTGAGGTTGTCCTCAGTCGTCAGGCTCGCCGGTTCGGTGTTAGCCCCCGTTAGAGTACAATTTGTGGTGACATGTTACAACATTCCCGTCTCAAATGTGACTCAGTAGCTCGCAAGCGCGTAACTGGGGCCAGGCTCGTAGCGGTTGGGTCTCGGGCCTCTGGCTTGGGTTTGTCGAGGCCGGGTTTACTCTAAGGCGAGTCCTGGCCCTGCAGGCTAGTTCTAACTGGGATCCAGGGGTTTTAGGGAGTGAGCTCCGCCGTGAACTCTAAGGTTTGGGCCGGTGCGCCTGGCTCCTGGGTCTCTTGGTCTGGAAGACTCAAAGTTCCAAGCCAAAGATTACAGGAGTTTTCTACTTTAGGGGACTACAGGAATACAAAAATATGAAAACTTCAAAAATCCAAAAGGGTGGCTGGTCTTGGCAGCGGGTAGGAGCGTCCATTAAGGCACTCCGATGGTGAGGGGTTCCCATCTTGCTCGTTGCCTAAAAGGGGAGTGTAAGGGTTACACGAATATATGACGTAGCAACGTGGGCTTAATTACGAGGGACATTTCCTGGTATATAAACGGGGACGACAGGTATGATTGTCTAAGAGACTGATTAGGTATTGAGGTAGATATGTTTGGATCTGAGCTGGTGACTCCTTAGTGGGGTTTAGGCCCTTGGTTCACCTTCCGTGATAGAAAAGTGACTGTCTCGAGTGGGTGACTTTGGAGGTCCTCGTACTCTGACCTCGTTGACCTGGGGACGCCGACTCAAATTGCCACGCTCGACAGGCGCTGTCCGCCCCGGTTTTGGTCGTCTACGGAATCTGTCTCGTCATTGCCTCCGTGCACCTGTTTAAAGCTATCACGGAGTCGTCTAACCCGTCTATTTAGGACGAAGACCCGTGGCTACGGCCAGGCCGTACCCGAGTCCTACCCGCGATGGCCATGACTGTATCGGGGGGCGGCCCCCAGGAGTAGGCTACTGGTTGGGGGTGGATGGTCGGTCGCTTGGCAATCTCTGGAAGGAGGTTGTCTACGACCGTAACGTCAACGGTTTGTGCCCCACTCGTAGGTGGCTTGGACGAGGGTGGAGGGGTTGAAGTTCCAAGGCCCTTTTCTCAAAGAACTCTGGTACCTCGACTCCTCGCCTCGTACTGGTTTGGGTACAGGTGGTATAGTGCCAGGTCGCCTACGTGCAGGATGGGCGTCGGCCGGGACATCGACCCAAAAGGTTTCGTCCGGGAGGCTTACTCGAGACGAGGTGTTCATGTTTGTCATAGGTCAGGGTCGCCGTTCTAAGGAGAGTGTTCACTAGTGCCATCTTTTGCCCCTACATCTCTGCTCTCGGTTTCGGTTATTTGCTTCGACGAGGTGACCGTCGCGGGGCATCGACTCCCTGGAGTCATGGGCCTCAGGCCGCAGATGCCATCTGTGCTGTCCCTGCACGAAAGCGTTTGCTGGGGCAGAGGTAATGGATGTCCTTAGTGAGGGTGAAGCATCCTTAGATTTGGCGTTAGGTACAAATAGGGGGGTTGCTGTCGTGGTAGGCTACTAATGTCTGGCGTCTGGACACTGCCGTGGGCATTGTCCACACTTCCAGGTCCCTAGGTTCGTGATCCCTTTCAGTCGGTAGATTTTGTCGCCGGGGTGAGGAAACTATTGGGCAAGGTGACTAGGAAGGCTACCTCGCGGTCTTAGAGGATTAACATAGATGGGGGACTGCAGCGCCCAGCGTGTCCGCTAAGTGGGCTTGCATGGGTGTTACCAGCGTCCCGTGTGGCTACGGCTAGGATGTCCTCGACTAGCGATAGCGGCACGAGGTTCTATGGCGGGATACGGCCCATGGCTAGATTTTCGATGGAGGAGCTGAGGTGACGTAAATGTCCTCCATCAGTCTTGTGTGGTCAGCTGAGTATGGGCGTCAAGTCTAGTTGGGAGGACGCTCTAAGAGTCTGGTTGACCGCAGCGGAGGAGTGAGTTTTCTTAATCGCAACCATCTCGTGCGTGTTAAGTACTAGCATGGTTCCTTTCAGGGACTTTCCCAAGGGTCACCACGTCGTTCATGTTGTTGGTCAAGTCTGGTATTGACATCCTCGAGATCAGAGGCCATTTCTTGTTGGTGACGTCACTGAGGGAGGTATAGGCTGATGGCGTTTACCGTGGACATCCCTAAGCTAAAGAGGGTGCCCAGGGCGGACGCCGCCGCGCGAGGAGGAGAGCCCCAATAAATCGTTTGGGGTTCTGGGGCGGAAGGGTCACTGAGCTCTGTCCTAGTGATCGTGAACTTCTCTAGTTGCGTCAAGCATGTGTTGTATGTCTGCCTCAGCATGCTCCACGACCGTCTGGGTCCAGCGTGCACCTGCCCAATCTTTGAGTGTGACCTTTCAAGGGCAGGTTCTTGCGGCCAGACTTCACTAGGATTGAGTCTGACAAAGATTCGCTGTGTGTGGAGTTCGGCGACATCCGTGATGAGGAGCCCGGGTTGTTCCTTTAAAACGATCCCAGGAGGCTGGTCCAGGTCTCAATATTTCTCTGGGGTGCCGGAGAGGACCCAGTATGCAGGTCAGCACGAGAAGGAAAGTGGGCCACATGTTCTGCAAGGCGTGTTGTGAACAAACTGTTAGGGGTTAGACAGAGACAGAGAAAGGGAGGGAGAGTCGATTAGTGCAGCCCGAGAAGAGTGTTGGTGTGTGCTGGGCTAATCGTGTTTGAGGTCACGTGGTGTGTTCCTAACTGGCGGGTTTTGAAGTGTGCCCTGCTTGTCCCATGGGGCTTTGTTTGTGTGGTTTGGTTTGGCTGTAACGGGCCCATCTGAGGGTGGGCTCTCTACCTTTGTGAACTCGATTTGGTGCACTGCGGTTGAGCAGTTTGTTTCCCACCCTGTATGGTCTTGACCAGCGGGGTCGCGGTTTCCGGCGTAGTCTGGTGGGGCCGGTTCCCACGTGTCCTGGGGGAATGTGCCAAGGTGTAATACCATACCTGGTTTTTGACCTGGAGGTGGCTCCTGCGGGGTCGGTCCTGTATTGGTTTGTCCCTCAGGAGCCGGGGGAGTTTCACGTTCTCGTCACTCCGGTTTGGGGATACGTACCTTAGTATTTCGTGTCGCCGTTCCGGTCCGTTGTTTCTACCTGTTGTAGTGCCTGACGTGTGTTGTTTATACCTGTTTGTTTCGCCTCACGTGCTCATGGGCGACGGCACCACTACGAGTACCGACGAAGATGTGAGTGTATCGGAAGCAGAATCTAACAGCCCATGGCGTATACAAAAATAAAAAAAACGGCAGTATTCCTTCATCACGGCCGGGGGTTCCGAGCGTCGTGTCGATTCATGGACGTCGATACAGAAGGGGCGTTCAAGTGTGGGGTTGTCGTGTCGGAGGGAGGCTAAGTCCGACGCTGTCGGGGTCGGGGGCCGTCCCCCCCCAGTCCGGGTGAGTCCCGTTGGCCTCCAGGGTTAAGTCCTGGCGTGCGTCAGGGGGGTTGCCGTGGGGTTGTCCTCCATGTTTGGGGAGGTCCCCGGCGTTCCCATCGCGGGTCACTGGCCATTGTGTCGCAGCATATGCGGACGGCCCAGGCTTGGGGCACCGTAAGTCGTCCGTGGTCCATGTAGCATGTTCAGATGTGGGCCAGGGGGGTGTCGTTGTAGGTTTGTCCGCTATGTTGAGGGCGGGCCCTTTCGTCCCAATGGCTGCGGTCTGAAACATGTCTCGTTATGGACGTCAGGTGGGCCGGGGTCATGGGTCGGATAGTCATGTTGTCTGTGTCGCATGTCCATGTGTGTTCCCGGAGGGGCGTCGTGGGGGTCGCAGTGGTCGACGTGCTAGTCCAATGTTGGGTTGTTGTATTGTTCCTATGACCTTGATTTTGGTCCCTTTCCCGTCATGATACTTACCAGTTCGGCCACGCTCCTGCGTTCACAGTTGGACGATGGTTCGCCGCGGTCGGTCGGAGCGAGGGGCACGTGTGGGCCGGAGGGTACTGTCCACGGCTGGTTCCGTTCGGGAAATAGCGGTCCTGATTTCCGCTGCGCGATCAAGATCCATGGTCGCGCTTGGAGTCATGCTCAGTCCCTGTTGGTGGTCCCTACTTACCTGTTGGGATTTGTTGTAAGCGGGTCGCGGCGGATTTCCTAGTTTCCGCCAGTTGTCGTTCCAGGTCACTCACTGTGTTTTGGAGCCTTGCTTTCTGGGCTTCGGACCAGTCAAAGCCGCAAGGTTTATCCTGGTAGATTATGGCCAGTCGTCCTAGCCACTGGGTTAGGGTTCTTACCTTGGAGTTTCGTCGTAGTAGCCTTCGGATGCTAATATGGAGGTAGCATCTTGTAAGTCACGAGAGTTGTGCTGTGCGCAAGCGTTGTCGTAAGCCCCCTGGGACATAACTTCTCGGTGAGGTCTCGCAGAAAGTTATCCCACTATGTCGTTGACCTTCTGAGGACACCGTCGTGCTTGCTGGTCGTGGCGAGTTTCCGCATCGATTTCCATATTTGTGTGGGTGAGTGTATGCGGTATTCAGTATGACTTGGAAACGTGTGTGTACGACACGGTGGGAGGAGGGAAGGAGGGAAAGCAGTGCTATAGAGAGGGTAGTTTAGCTGTTGGTCGTGTGGTGGTGTAGACCCTTGGTGTGTGTCGAAACCGTGACTACAGCGGTCTCTCCGTTTCGTGGCGGTGTAGCGAGTAGGCGGCCGCCCCCCCTAGGGCAGGGGGCCGGGCGTTAGTACTTCTTCACCTGTGTGTCAGCGGAGGAGAGAGAGCGTTTGGGGTTAGTGGCGGTTGGCGCACGTAGGGTTACCAGTGGCGCCAGCGGCAGCAGCAAAGTATTAGGGCGCGGCGTTAATCCGCCAGCGGGTTAGACGCGGCGTAAGAGGACGCAGCGTGAGATGCACCTGCGTGGGAGACACACCTGCTTAGGAGATCGCACTTGCGTTTGGTGGATCGCACTTGCGTTTTTTGGTTTGTTGCGCACTTGCGTTGGGGTCGCACTTGCGTTTGGGTCGCACTTGCGTTTGGTGTCGCACTTGCGTTTGGGTCGCACTTGCGTTTGGGTCGCACTTGCGTTTGGTGTCGCACTTGCGTTTGGGTTCGCACTTGCGTTTGTTGCAAGCTTGGTCGCACTTGCGTTTGGTCTCGCACTTGCGTTTTGGGTCGCACTTGCGTTGTGGGTCGCACTTGCGTTTTGTTTGGTTCCTGTCGCACTTGCGTTTGGGTCGCACTTGCGTTTGGTCTCGCACCATTGCGTTTGGTCCCTGTCGCCACTTGCGTTTGGTCTCGCCACTTGCGTTTGTTTCGGTCTCGCACTTGCGTTGTTTGGTACGCACTTGCGTTCGGAACGCACTTCGCGTTTCGGATTGTCGCACTTGCGTTTTGGGGCACGCACTTGCGTTTGGGGTCGCACTTGCGTTTGGGTCGCACTTGCGGTTTTGGGTCGCACTTGCGTCTTGGGCTCGCAAGTGCGTTTGGGCGCACTTGCGTTTGGGTCGTGTCGCACTTTTCTGCGTTTGTTGTCGCACTTGCGTTTGGGGACGCACTTGCGTTTGTTGTCGCACTTGCGTTTTGGACGCAACTTGCGTTTCGGACGCACTTACGTTTCGGAAGCACTTACGTTTAGGTCGCACTTGCGTTTCGGGTCGCACTTGCGTTTGGGTCGCACTTTTGCGTTTGGGGACGCATTGCGTTTTTGGTTCGCATTGGTTTTTGGTACGCACTTGCGTTTTTGGGCCGCGGGCGTAGCTTTAGACGCGAGCTCAGTAAGCAGTAGCAAAAAGGCAGAAGGCCTGATGCCAAGGCAAGCAGTTTTAGTGACAGTGAGGTTAGAAGTAGTGTATTAGTTTTGATGTAGTACAAGGGGGTGGGAAGTGGGGCAGTATCTGTCAGATCACACACCGGTTGGTTCAAGATAACGCGCATCATGCAGCGAGCAGAAGATAAAGAATAGGATTAGTTACCATAGTTTTTAATAAAGTGCAGTACAGAGGCAGAATCAATTATTAGTTTCACCAGCGCTAGCAATTGTGGCAGAATTAAAAGTGTTAGTTTTAGGTAGTACACAGGGTGGGTGGTGGGGTGCAGTATCGGTCAGATGCACAATGATGTGGGTCAAGAATAACGGCATCATGCAGGAGCAGACGTAACAGAATAGGATTAGTTACCACTGCATTGTGTTCATATCAGGGGCAAGGAGGGGGGCGGGGGTGTGTGGGGTGTGCACTAGTGTATTGTTAATCACCACTCAGATGTGTTACTGTAAACTAGCAGTAGTGGAGTGACTGGAAATAAAGCATAGAATGCGGTTTCACCAGCGACATGCTAGCGAAGGAAGCGAGATTACTGCATTAACCTTGGCTAATGCAGAATGTAGTTAACAATTATGTTTAAGAGGAAGAAGCTGGAAGCAGAGTGTTAGCTTTGTTTATGTATGCAGTAATGTGTTCTAATAGCAACATTGGTAGAAGTAGCCAGGGGGAGTTACAGTATGAAACTTGGTCAAGCAAGTAATGTTAGCCTAACAATTATGCTTAAGAGGAGAAGCAGAGAAGCCAGAAGTGTTAAGCTGTTGTTATGTATAGCAAGTAATGTGTTTCTACTAGCAACATGCGCTAGAAGTAGCCAGGTTACGTATGAAACTTGGTTCAACGCAGTAAATGTAGCCTAACATTATGTTAGAGGAGGATAGCAGAATCACAGTGTTAGTTTTGTTTGTTTATAGCAGTAATGTGTTGTAATAGCTACATTTGCGCTGAGAAGTAGCAGGTTACAGTATGAAATTGGTCAACGCTAGAAGATTTAAGCCTAACATCTATGCTTAAGAGGAGAAGCTGTGATGCAGTGTGTTGCTTTGTTGTTATGTATAGCAGTAATGTGTTCTATTAGCTACATGGCTAGAAGTAGCAGAGTTACCAGTATGAAACTGGTCAACGCAGTAATGTTGCATAACTTTTATGTTTAAGAGGAGAAGCAGAGAACAGAAACAGAGTGTTAGCTTTTGTTATGGTATTAGCAGTAATGTGTTCTAATAGCAACATGCGCTAGAAGTAGCAGTGTTTCAGTAATGAAAACTTTGGTCAAGCAGTAATGTAGCCTAACATTATGCTTAAGAGGAGAAGCAGAAACAGAGTGTTAGGTGTTAGTTTAGCAGTAAGGTGGTCTATACACCATTTATGACAGCGCAGGAATCCGTTTGAAGCAGGAACACGGGCATTGATTAGGTTACTACAATCACGTATAAAAAAAGTTAGGAGAAGGTAGAGGACTATCCATTAGCCGTGAGGAGGATATGGAGTTGCAGGAGGGCAGGAGAAACAGAAACAGAGTGTTAGCTTTACCGTTGTATGGCAGTAAAGGTGGGTTATTGAGTTGGAGTAACAAAAACAGCACGGATGTATAGCAAAGCCGTTTCCGTTAGTGCCACATTCACAGGATGGATTAAAGAGTTGGTGCAGAATGAAGTGTCAAGACAGCAGCAATGTGGTTCCGGAAGTAGTGCCGGGACCGGGACAAGAATTTTTTGTTAGACAATAAAAGAGGTGCGATCGTTTAGAGTGTGCCCGAGTCGGGCTGGGCGGCCTTATGATCGTCAAAACACAGAATCAGAGTGAGATCGGGTAGTATGCAAGTTATACGTAAGTGGTGGTATTGTTAGACAACAGGTAGACAATGAGCAGAATGGTGTTAGCAGTGGGGATGGGCTTGGTTTTAGGCGCAGGGCCGGGAAGGAAGTTAGCCGTATGCTAAAAACAACAGGAGCGTAGCTGCAAATAGCTTGCCGCGGCAACTGGACATTTTAGCTAGCCAAGGGGTTTAGCAATAAACAATGAGTTATGGTGACGAATGCAGTTCGGTTAACAGAGTGGCACACGTTTTAACGGTAGCTCCTCCTCAACACTATTTCTTCCCTATCTACTTTTCTACTTCTAATACATCTAACTCAAATCTTCACTCTTTTCCCTCTCTTCCTTACTCAAAATCACTCCCCCCCCTCCTTTTATAACTCTAACTCAAACTCTCTAATTCTCTAAAATCTCCATACTAAACACCCCTCCCTACATTCTCTCTAACTCCATAACTCCCCCTCCCTTACACCCTATTATTTCATTATAAATACATACAATATCCTACCCTAAATTATATATAATACCTCCCCTCCTCTACTCTTCTCATTATTATATTATATCCCCATATTAACACCATATATCCAATTTAACCCTCTTTCCCCTATAATCACCTACATCCTATAACATTACCCTTAATACCCTATTATATCTCATCCACATTAAAATCTCAAACTCAAACCTCTTTCACTCTCCAAACCCCTACTCACTACATCCTCCACTTCCCTAATTTCCCCCTAATTACTCCATATATATAAACTACCCATATCCCCCTCCTTTAAAATCTCCACACAACAATACATTATCCATCCCTCTCCTCAAAACACTCCATCTAAATTTCTACTTTTTCACACCAATAAATTTACAAACCTATCTCCCTTCTTTTCCTATTCTCCTTTTTTTATCTTATTCTTTCTATTTTTCCTCTCCCATCTCCCCCTATATCCTCTCACTAACTTACACTTCACCCAACCCTTCAACTCTACTCACCCACATTACACAAAACTCTTCACTCCCACCCCTTTACCCCAACATACTTTTAAAACCAAAACATATCTTAAACATATAATTCACCAATTATTACACTATATTTACATAAAAACAAATTTCCCCCTCCTCTCACTCCTAATCTCCTCCCCCCACCCCCCCACAAATCCACTCATACCCACAACATCCACACATTAATTACTTCAACAACATCCCTTTCACAACCTCTACACCCCCCCTCCAATAATTTTAATTAACCATCCCTTTTTAACATTCAACCCCCCATCCTTACCCACACCCTCCTTTTCAAACTCTTACCAACCCTCTCCTATTAACCCTAACCAACCACCCCTCCCCCCCCCCTTTCCCCTCCAACCAAAAACTTCTCTACTCTTCTAATAAATCATTCCCTCTTTTCAATTCTAATTCTCATTTCTTCATCTCCATCCTTCCACTTCTTTCCCTCCTCCCTCCCATCTCCCACTATATCATCCACTTCTCTCACCAAGTAAACTCAAAAAGAGTGCTCCCCTCTCTCCCACATATCTACTTAAACATTATCTTATCCGTGTGTGATACATCCTCGCACGCTGTTTCCGAGTACTCATATGATCTACCCTCCTCCTTGCCATACTTGTGATGCCACGCCTGTTACTCTTCTACTTTTCATCTGTGTCATTACCCACCTAGATTCACTTACTTGCCACTAACATACTCCAAACCACCCCCATTTTGTGTTCACCATACACAGAGTGTACTATAACTATCCTACAGTATCATCAAAATTGTGGAGTGCCTCAAGGTTCAATTTTGGGTCCAAAATTATTTAACTTGTATATAAATGATATATTTAGGAATTCAAAATTGTTGAAAATGATTCTTTTTGCAGATGATACAAACATGTTTTATTCACATGAGAACTATGGCGAACTAATTCGGACTATTAATGAAGAGCTAGAAAAAGTGAAACATTGGATGGATAAGAACAAACTCTCTTTAAATCTAAAAAAAACTAAAGCCATATTATTTGGAAATCGTAAAGTAGATAAACAAAGACCTGAAATACGGCTAAACATTGATGGAGAGTACACATTGAAACAGTATCTGAATATACATTTTTAGGGGTGACAATAGACGACAAGCTGTCATGGAAACCACACATAAGACTAACACAGTCAAAGTAGCAAAAAGTGTTGCAGTTATTAACAAAGTAAAACATGTTCTGGATTTTGATGCTCTCCGCTTACTGTACCACTCACTAATACTACCTTTCTTAACGTATTGTATAGAAATATGGGGCAATAACTATAAAAGTTCTTTGTATTCCCTCTTTATATTACAGAAGCGTGCGGTAAGAACTATACACAAAGTCGGATATTTTGACCACACAAACTTTCTATTTTTAAAATCTGGAATTCTGAAACTCCCTGATTTGGTGACACTACATACAGCTCTTCTGTTATATAAAGCAAATAATAATATGTTACCAGGCAATATACAGAAACTTTTTTGTGAGAATGAAGGAAAGTATAATCTAAGGAGAGGTGGTAAATTCAAAGTCCTGCTGGTGGGATCTACGAGGAAAAGTTGGTGCGTGTCAGTGTGCGGAGTCAAACTCTGGAACAGCCTGGAAAATCATGTAAAAGAATGCAGAACTATGTACATGTTTAAAAAGAAATACAAAGAATGTTTGATATCTAAGTATGAAAATGAGGAGGTGTAAAAGGTGTATAGTGAGAGGATCCAAAAGAAAAAGTAACTTATTTGATCATTCATTAGGAAATCTAACACTATATATGAAGGTGCTATCTTCATTTGTGTGTATTTGGGTGTATTTGTAGTATGTGTATTTGTAATATGTATTTATAGAACATATGTGTATACATGCCTCATGTACTGTGTATATGCACTGTGTATATATAGGTATGTATGTAATGTTTAGGTATGTCTGCGAGCATATGGTATATGTGAGTATATATATCTATATAGGAATATGTATATTGTATCTTAAATGTCTTTTTTCTGAAAATAACTATGAAATGGAGTTGTGAAGGTTCACTGAAGGAGCTGGTGGCATGGTGGTGTGCGATGACGGCATGGTGACGGAGGTGTGGTGGCTCTTGCTGGTCCAGGATGCGGAGGGGCACTGGTGTGGTGGCGGCCTGGTGATGTGGTAGGGCTTACATGCAGGTGTCACTGTCTTCTCCCACTACACACTGCCACGAATGGATATGATTTGTATATGTTAGTAGTTTGAATATAAACACTAATGCTATCAATTTGACCAAGTGAAAATACTCCATTGTCTGGTAAAATGGAAAAATGAAATAATAGTAATAATGATTATAATAATTAAAATAATAATAATGATAATAATAATAACAATAACAAAAAGAGGAATATAAATAAATAAATAAACAAATGAAGTCGGCTGAACGTGGCCTGAGACCGGTGGGATAGGGTGTGTGCAGTTCTGGCTCGATGCCTTAGTGCGTTGCTGGTTGTTGCTGCTCTGGTGCCTGCTGTGACGGGATTGGCTGGGGTCACTGTGCTGCTTGTTGCCGTGTTGTTATGCATGACTTTGCTACTGGCTCCGGACACACAGGGGTAAGTGTGATGTGCACAGGGGTGGGAACTTATAAGATTTTTTTCTTCCTCCCACTCCTTTTCGAGTTTGAATGATGTCAATATTGTATCTGTAAATGGTTGATTTGATGTACATGAACTCGAAATAAATAAACACTCAACTCAACACTCAACTCAATTAGCAATATACACTCCCAGGGTTAGGACCAAGCAGCCTGGCTGTAATCCCCCACCTGGTACACTTACCAGAAGGGGCACTGCCACTACCATGGGGTGCATCTGGATGAATGGTTGAAGGTTCTCCGCTTGAAGTTTCTTTTAGCCTGTCCGTTTGTGAGAGGATCTCTACTGCTCTCCCTGTCGCACAGAAAATAAAAATACAAGTGGCCTTTAGGGGAAAAAAATCATACATATTTTAATAATATCAAGAATTACCTTCAGGCTCAATTTGTATCTGGTCGAGGCTCTTTCCTTCGAATTCCGTCACTCTTCCCTGCTCCATGGCCATCAACACTTTGCTGATTTTGGCCAGCTCCAGTGTCCCCTCTGGTAGTCTGTAATATTGCCTGTGGATGCGAATGTCATGGCCGAGGAAGTTGGCAAGTATGTCCATCTCATTCTCTTTCATATTGAGAACTGTAGACATAGTAGCTATGTGCTTTCTAAGTTTGGTTGAGGATAGCATCTCTGGATGCACCGCACCACATTCTTTGGCTACCTGCCGTAGGGAGTCTGATCCCCTGATGTGGGTGTCTGCGCCCGGGCGGGAAAAGAAGTATGGGTTATGGTCAGAGATGGAACAGGCCCTTCTGTTCTCCACCAGCACCTCCATCGAAGCAATCATTTCAGGAGTCAAAAGAACCGGCACTTTCCGACTTCTTTTCCCTTTAATTTCAATGCGTTGAAAATGCTGACACAGCTTTTTCTCAAGTTGGGACAGTCCCAGAGCAATGTCAGAATGGATCCCAGTCTTACTTCTTAAGGTAAAGGCTGTCAGTGGCATCTTTGAAACCTCACCTTCCCTTCTTCGATTGAAAATGATGACCTCACAAAGAGTCAAAACTGCCAGTTTAGACCAATGCTTAGACGTTGGCTCACTTATTAGGGTTTGCACATATTCAGGTCGACATACCTCAATATGTGCATGCATGGCTCTAACGTCCTCAGTCAGAGGGAGCAGGTCCGGAGTGTTCCACTTGGCTTGCCGGAGGGTCTGTAGGGCAGCAGAAGAAACACAGACGTCCCACCTCTTCTCAAAAAGCAGCCGGCTTCGTTGGAGGTTTTTAATAAATAGTTCATCAACACAATGCTCCATTTTTGAGTCACATTCAAGAATATCTGCTAGCTTTCTGAGGCTATGGCCGAGTTTGAGGGCCAAGGATGGAGTCTTGTATTGATTTGTTTCCTCATCATATCCAGCCACAGACCTGACTGCATCAATCACATGGTTAAAGTTGGAAGGAATAAAGAAATCCTTAATTGTTTTCAGTTTCCCTGCAGTTTTTGCTTCGTTAATTAACCTACCGACTTCTCTCATTTTCTGCCTAATGTAATCATGCTTAGTCTTATCATGCCCGTGTTTTAAGTACAGGTGCTCTCCGAGTCTCAGAATCCCCTTTTCTGCTTTGACAACACCCGTGACCTCATCCTGATGCATTGCCCAAATTAAAGACCACAGCTTTTTGCTGATGCCCTCCGGTACAGGCTGGGCTAGGGAGCAGAGGGACTGGACCCTACTTCTACCTGGTTTAGCCTGGTTTAGCCTGGGCATCTTTCTGTGAAAGCCGGCACCTGGCCACATGCCTCCACAGCGACTTTCGCTTAAGCAATGCCCCACAGTCTATACAGTGCAAAAACTCACTGGATTTAACTGGGCAATTTGGCTGTTTAGCTGGGACTAAAGTTCCAATGCCGGCCTTTAAAACCTCAAAATTGTGCTCACGGTTTCCACTATTCCTGATCAAATCAAACTGAAGTTTACGTGCTTTAGATTTCACAGGTAGAGCCAATGCTCTGGCTACGTCACTTTCATTTCCATGTTTTCTAGTCAAATGACGGGACATTTTGTGGCAGGACATTGAACAGTAGAGGCAGAAGTGTCTCTTGCTGTAAACTCGCCCCCCATTTTTCTTCTTTTGCAGCTGCATGATAACAATCTTATTTGCCTTTGGTTCGTCACTTTCCGAGTCTTGAAGAAAAGTGTTTTTGATTTTTCTTTTTCCATACTTTTTTACAGGTTTCTTCTTGACAGTTAAATCGTCAGAATCTGAGTCGACTTCATCAATTAGGGACTCTTGACTAAGCTGCACAAACAACAAATAAATTGTAATAATTCTATATAACAATTTGAAGTCATGACTTGTAGTCAGCACTTACCAGTGGTTTGTAAGCGTGCGCTTCAGTGTGCTGCTCTGTGATTGGCTGCAGCCTAATGAACCACACACTTGCACCTTTTTCTAGCCTGACACCTGATTTCCTCTGTTGTGCTGCTCCATGATTGGCTCCAGCCTCTGTTGTGCTGCTCCATGATTGGCTCCAGCCTCTGTTGTGCTGCTCCATGATTGGCTCCAGCCTGCTGGACTGAAATTGCCCCAGTGTGCCCCTCCTTGATATTCCGCAACCCACCACCAGGGTTCCGACACATAACACACTTTTTTCAGGAAAGTAAACCTCCAGGGGTCCTTTCCATATTTTTACAGAGACTGCATAAGGACCGTTAGAAAAGCATTACCCATTGATTATTAAGCTTGGACCAGTGGGGTCCGGTGTTCGGGCCCCACCACGTAAAACCAGTCCCCATGACGTGAGTGGAATCTCAGGTTATGGACCCCACCAGGAGTTGAAAACAAGTGCACACAGACAAACAGACACACACACATGTACACACACACACACACACACACACACAGACAAATAGACACACACATGCACACACACACACACACGTAATATCGGGCAAAAAAATCATCTAATGCTCTCTCTCTTTGTAATAATAACTTATATATTTTCAGTTTGGTCCGAGCACACAGACAGACCGAGGCCACAGACAGACCGAGACCACAGACAGACCGAGACCACAGACAGACCGAGACCACAGACAGACCGAGACCACAGACAGACCGAGACCACAGACAGACCGAGACCACAGACAGACCGAGACCACAGACAGACCGAGACCACAGACAGACCGAGACCACAGACAGACCGAGGCCACAGACAGACCGAGACCACAGACAGACCGAGACCACAGACAGACCGAGACCACAGACAGACCGAGACCACAGACAGACCGAGGCCACAGACAGACCGAGACCACAGACAGACTGAGACCACAGACAGACCGAGACCACAGACAGACCGAGGCCACAGACAGACCGAGGCCACAGACAGACCGAGGCCACAGACAGACCGAGGCCACAGACAGACCGAGGCCACAGACAGACCGAGGCCACAGACAGACCGAGGCCACAGACAGACCGAGACCACACCGAGACCACAGACAGACAGACAGACAGACAGACAGACTGAGACCACAGACAGACAGACAGACAGACAGACAGACCGAGACCACAGACAGATCTAGACCACAGTAAAAACCTGTCGTTGTGGCCTCAGAGACAGATGGTGAGTTATAATCCTGGTCTCTGGCTCCTCCCTCTGACCCACTGCAGCCTCCACACACACACACAAACACACACAAACACACACAAACACACACACGTCACAGTCACTACGTCATAAATATAAAAAGTCTGTGTTTCAAGTCAAATAGAAGCAAAACAAACACAGACAGTCCTCACATCAACAAACAAAAACACACATTATAAAAGACAGTTGAACCAGAGTTCCCATGAGCCACCACCAAAGCCATGTCTATATTTCACATTATTGCAGTGGAAAAGGGAAGCGACCGGGAGGCATCCAAAACACCTCCTCTGGCTCCTCTCCAGGTGGACGTACAGCGGCTGCACATTCAACACACTTTATTTGCCATTTGCAGTAAAACCCCATTGGAATAACTATGCACGACTAGTCCACTGTGCACCAGGACAGTACACACCAGAGCTCCTGCCACGGGGGGCCGACCAGATGAGTTTGGGAAGGTGGACTGACCGGTAAAACTCCGCATCAGCAACTCAAATAAGCATCATTTTATTTCCTTTCTTCTCTCAACAGAAAAAATGATTTTCTCACTGCATGAATTTAACACGAGAAAATCTAAAGTCCTGTTTCCACCGACCCCACATGGCCTTACTCTACTCTACTCTACTCTACTCTACCTGGTTTCTATTACACTTCATTATCTGGTTCTGTATCCTAGCAACCGGCCCACAACAAACCAGTATCCAGGGAAATTCGTTGGTAACCATGGCTTCCAGTGGCACTTCCAGCCAATCACTGTCATCGTTATAACCACTTCATCGACCAGGAACCACTTTTGGACCAAGAGCCACTTTTGGACCAAGAGCCACTTTTGGACCAAGAGCGACTTTTGGACCAGGAACCACTTTTGGACCAAGAGCCACTTTTGGACCAAGAGCCACTTTTGGACCACCCTGTAAAGACATTATCAAGAGGTAAGAAGATGCTAGACATTAGCGTTGGCTAATTCTTTTTCCGGGTCCACCCCCACAGGCCCGGGGTGGTATTGCAGCCTGTCAACACAAATCCTTTTAGACATTTTTGAGCCGGGACCCGCCCAGACTGGTTACAGCACTTTAGTACCTAGAGACAGATCTATCTATGTGTCGGCCTATAAGAAGAAGGTCCTTTATTTGTCCCACAATGGGGAAATTTCAGTCTGACACATAAACATATATTATATGCATCAAGGCAAGCAGCAAACATCACTTCCGCGCTCCTAATAGGCAAAGTGGGTTAAGGGTCTTGCCCAAGGACACAACGGTGGGCTCGAACCCATGACCTTCGGGCTTAGAGGCCAATGCTCTACCAACTGAGCCATTGATTTTTAAAAGTACATTTGTAAAGGTGTAAAAAATCTTCCCCAAAATGTGGAACAGTTTAAAACTTCCAGAAAAAGAAGATTCAAGCATGTTTTTGAAGAATTAAGTTTGAGTCTAGAAAGTTCTTGGATGAAAATACTAGATTTTCTTCTGGAATTCTCCTTCATTGCATCGACCTCATTCATCCTTATGGAAATACACAAAATTAATTGATTGAAAAAGAAAAAAAACTTCAGGTTCACTTCAGGACAAAAGAATCTGGAGACTTTACGTAACTCGACCGTTTCCTTTGCTAGAGTTGGAGAAACGACTGTCTCTGTGTCCAGTGTTAAAGTTAAACACAAACAGTGCTGCAGCTGTTCAAATACTCTGCTCCTTCATCCTTTCATCTCTGACCCACTTTCAGCAAAAATACAGATTCATATTCTGCTGTTTCATGTTTCTGACACCAACGGCCCAAATGCAGCTGTCGGAATCAATCGGTTTCAATCAATTTAAGTGTAAATGTGGTAAAAAACATTTGTATTTCTCTTCGTTTAGGAGCGAGTGGTTTGGACGGAGGTAAAAAAGTGAAAGATAGACTGATATAAGACTCGAGTTCTTCGGTGAATAGGCCCAGTCACAGTCTCTGGGTCGTGAAACAGCTGCAGTAGATTCAAAACATGAGTCCTGACGAGAACCAGGAACAGGGACTGGCCTCCTGCTGAGACTCTGAGGAGCACAGGGACTGGCCTCCTGCTGAGACTCTGAGGAGCACAGGGACTGGCCTCCTGCTGGGACTCTGAGGAGCACAGGGACTGGCCTCCTGCTGGGACTCTGAGGAGCACAGGGACTGGCCTCCTGCTGGGACTCTGAGGAGCACAGGGACTGGCCTCATGCTGGGACTCTGAGGAGCACAGGGACTGGCCTCATGCTGGGACTCTGAGGAGCACAGGGACTGGCCTCCTGCTGGGACTCTGAGGAGCACAGGGACTGGCCTCCTGCTGGGACTCTGAGGAGCACAGGGACTGGCCTCCTGCTGGGACTCTGAGGAGCACAGGGACTGGCCTCCTGCTGGGACTCTGAGGAGCACAGGGACTGGCCTCCTGCTGGGACTCTGAGGAGCACAGGGACTGGCCTCCATGATTACTGATTTATTGTGATCTTAGTGACCGCAAATTAACAATTTTAAAACGTATTATTTCAAAAGAATGGATGTACCGTAATTACCATATATACTTTCAATTGTTTTATGATTGAAAGTATTTTGTAAAAGCACTTTAAACCATGTGTTTGTATTTTTTTTCTAACCGTTACATAAAATCTATAAAAAAATATTGACGTTATTTATTTTATATTATTTATTTATTTGACAGTGTAGTAGAGTGTGTTGATAATGCCATTTGTTTTTCTAATCTCCTGTCCCTGGTTGAGCTTTGCGCTACAGTACTGTCTGTGGTCAACACCCAGCCTGGTTAATCAATTAGCAGGTCTGTGTTAATTAAGTCCTAATTAAGTTAAGACTGTCGGCTGTGGGCGTGGTCTCTTTGAAGTTAGAACCAGGGATTATGATGCAAACGCAGGTCATCCCCAGGGGCTGTAGAGTCCGGTCTACGGTCCAGACTCCAGCCCGAGGACCGAGAGGAGGAGGCGTCAAACTCCTGCATCACCAGACCGGAAACAGTGGTGCTAGGCTACAAAATAAAAGTCAATGTTGTCGTAGCGTACCAAACGGGAGAGGGATGACAGAGAAAGAAGGAGACAAATTGTAGTTGGAGATTCTCTGGAAAAGTGAGGTCCCCGTTAATTTATAGAAAACCAAAACCCCCAAAACACAAAGTAACACACGTGCGCATTACTGTAATACTAAAAAGTCAGATGATCCGGACACTTGACATTCAAACACATTTATGGACCAATGACTCAGTGTGTTTTTTTTTATCATCTATCATTTAGCATTTTTTGTATTGAACTGTTTGATTCTCTAAACTGTGTGGACGAATCGACAACTTTAAAGTCTTCAGAGATATTACTGTTGGGACTTAGGGCTGTACAAAAATGAATTGAATAGTTTAATTATGCAGCACAAGAGGAAAGCACTAAGCCACATTTTATTATTCTCTAATTTGACCATTATTGATACAAACATGAGCTTTCCACAGGGTCTCAAAAGTCTTGGGCTAAGGAGGGCAGGGCCTGGATAGTACTGTGATGGGAGTCCTCTGGGAACAGGTCTGATGTACATTATTATTTCGGGATCCATTAAGTATTTATCTACACATCTATCCAGGTGCCACAGTGGGGCGGCTGTAAAATGCCAAACTGTAGTTGTGTCCTTAAGCAAGACACTTCACCCACATTGACAAGTATGAGTTTGGAGTGAATAGTTGGTTTTTGGTCGGAGGGACCGATGGCACATTTATATGCCTCACTTCTGCCAGTGTGCCCCAGGGCAGCTGTGGCTACAATAGCACAATAGTACCTTCTCACCACCTTGTGAATGAATAATGCCATAGAAGAGTCTTTGAGTGTCCAAAAAAGTGCAAGTAAAAAGTAAGTAAACGTAAGTGAAAACGATGCATCCGTATCCCCACCAAATTTCTCAAAGATGTTTTTAATGTGGTTGGACCCTCCATTTTATCAATCCTTAATCAGTCCCTGGATCAAGGTCTTGTCCCATCCAGTTTTAAACATGCTGTGGTCCAACCACTTTTAAAGAAGCCTAATTTAAGCACTACAGATTTTAACAATTTTAGACCCATTTCTAAACTCCCGTTTTTATCTAAGGTTTTAGAGAAAATTGTTTCTATTCAGATTTTAGATTTTATTAACAATAACCACATCTTTGAGAAATTCCAATCCGGTTTTAAAGCACAACACAGTACTGAGACAGCTCTCCTTAGAGTTTTAAATGACCTTCTTTTAACCACGGACAGCGGAGAGTGCTCTATTTTAATTCTTTTAGATTTAAGCTCTGCCTTCGACACTATAGACCACGATATTTTAGTGGATCGCCTCAAAACGTGGGTTGGCATCAGAGATACTGCACTTGGTTGGTTTCATTCTTATCTTTTAGAAAGAACCTTTGCGGTCACCATGGGTGATTTTACCTCCTCAACAGCCCCCATCACCTGTGGTGTAAGCCGCAAGGTTCTATTTTAGGCCCCATTTTATTCTCTATTTATATGCTCCCCCTAGGACACGTTATGGCCCGTCATAACGTGTCCTTCCACTGCTATGCGGACGACACACAGATCTACCTCCCGCTGAGACCAAACGACCCTGGAAGTCTGGCTGCTGTGGTCGACTGTTTTAATGATGTGAACCGTTGGATGGCCCATAACTTCCTTCAACTCAACACCTCCAAATCAGAAGTCCTCCTCCTCAACCCGCCTCCTCCATATCCCACATCAAACCCACCTCGCCCCCTGTCCTCAAACATCACTCCCTCCGCCCGTAACCTCGGTGTCATTTTTGATTCTCACCTCACCTTCCGCTCCCACATCAATAAAACCACCCAAACCTGCTTCTATCACCTCCGCACCATCTCTAAGATTAAAAACATTCTCACTCCTCCCGATCTCCATAAGTCGTCAACGCCCTCATCTTCTCCCGCCTCGATTACTGTAACTTCCCTCCTCTCCGGTCTTGATGCTAAATCCCTCTCCCGCCTCCAACTGGTTCAGAACGCAGCAGCCAGACTTCTCACTGGTTTTAACAGAAGGGGAGCACATCACCCCTGTTTTAGCGTCCCTCCACTGGCTCCCTGTGCGATTTAGAATTGATTTTAAGATTTTACTGATTACTTTTAAAGCTCGTTTAGGTCTGGCACCAAGCTATATTTATGAACTTTTAACCCCCTACGAGCCCCCCCGCAGCCTTAGATCCTCGGGCAGGTCCTTGCTGACCATTCCAAGGTCGAGGCTCCGGACGAAAGGTGATCGAGCCTTTTCTGTCCGGGCTCCTCGGCTTTGGAACGACCTGCCCGAGGAGATAAGGCTTGCACCATCAGTATCCTCTTTTAAATCTCTTCTTAAAACCCACTTTTATAAAAACAGCTTTTAATTGTCAGCTTTAAACTTATAATGTTGTATTTTACTGTCGGTCCTGTCTGTTTTGTGGTCTTGTGTTTCCTCTGTTTGTCTTGTCTTCTTGCATTCATTCTTATTGTTTTAACTTTGTATTATGACTGATGTATTGTTTATTATGCTGTGCAGCACTTTGATAACATTGTTTTGAAAAGTGCTTTATAAATAAAGATTTATTATTATTATTTAATATTATTGATATAATTTTTCATTTAGTTTATTATTCCTGTATTTGTATTATTATTTCTGCTATTATTATAAGTTTTTATTTATTTCTAAAATGATATCTAAAAAAACAAACTACACGAATCTTAAAAATCCACAAAAGTTGATTATTCGAAAACCACCTCTTATTTTGAAAGAACCAAGCGGAAGTCTTGGTTCGTATTTCTTCGGCTTCACTCGTGCTTTTCCGGAGAGAGGAAAACAGCAGAGGAATAACGGGGAACTGGGACGCTCCGGGATTTTAACCAGAAAACAAAGATATTCACCGATAAAACAGGTAAAAACACAAACTTTAACATTTTACACGTTTATCCTTCAACTTCTGACGCACTTTACGTCAGTTTTCACTGTTTAAACTCGCTCTCATCTGGAAACAGTGCCAGATATTTTATATCTGTTACTGCTGCTGTTACTGCTGCTACTGCTGCTTCTACTGCTGCTGCTGCTGTTACTGCTGTTACTGCTGCTGCTGTTACTGCTGCTGCTGTTACTGCTGTTACTGCTGTTACTGCTGCTGCTGTTACTGCTGCTGCTGCTGCTGCTGTTACTGCTGTTACTGCTGTTACTGCTGTTACTGCTACTGCTGCTGCTGCTGTTACTGCTGTTACTGCTGTTACTGCTACTGCTGCTGCTGCTGTTACTGCTGCTGCTGCTGCTGTTACTGCTGTTACTGCTGTTACTGCTACTGCTGCTGCTGCTGTTACTGCTACTGCTGTTACTGCTGTTACTGCTGTTACTGCTGTTACTGCTGTTACTGCTGTTACTGCTGTTACTGCTACTGCTGCTGCTGCTGTTACTGCTACTGCTGTTACTGCTGTTACTGCTGCTGCTGTTACTGCTGTTACTGCTGTTACAGCTGTTACTGCTACTGCTGTTACTGCTGTTACTGCTGTTACTGCTGCTGCTGCTGCTGTTACTGCTGTTACTGCTGTTACTGCTGTTTACTGCTGTTACTGCTGCTGCTGTTACTGCTGTTACAGCTGTTACTGCTACTGCTGTTACTGCTACTGCTGTTACTGCTGTTACTGCTGCTACTGCTGCTGATGCTTTACTAATGTTATTGTACTAAATATAGATGAATGTAATAATCAGACGGTATTCTGGGGTAGAATGTTTGTTTTCAGTTCAGAGTTTATTTACTTTTGCATCAAACAAGCTAAACACATTTATGTTATTATTGGTAAGTGGTAGTAGTAGTAGTAGCAGTAGTAGTAGAAGTAGTAGTAGTATATTCCCCACACTCAAAAACATGAAGCACTAAATGTTTATAATAGAAAATAAATATATTCTTTAGGGCTGAAACAACTAATCGATTAATCGACGACTAATCGATTATTGAAATAGTCGACAACTATTTTAGTAATCGATTAATCGTTTTCTGGTTCACACGGACTCAGAGAAAAAATGACATGAAAATGTAGTATTTTTGATTAAAACCGACTTTGTTTTTATAATTTCATGAATATCTGTCTGTCTCATCCAATCAGAGCAGAATTAGCACAAAGAGCCTGTTACAAACATTTACTTTAAGTTTACGCCATCAATACGTCCTCGAGTGTTGCCACTTTAGCTTTTTGTGATGAAAAAATATTTTTTTTCTACACAATTCACAGCCAAGCGATTAATCGATTAATCGTAAAAATAATCGATAGATTAATCGATAACAAAATAATCGTTAGTTGCAGCTCTAATATTCTTATATATTAGTAGAATAAAGAATATATATATATATATATATGCATATATATATGCAATAAAGAATATATTTATTCTATAGAATAAATATATTCTTTATTGCACCATTATCTGACAACATTTGTTAGTTTGGATGTGGCAATAAACTTAGTTACACAAATGTTTGATTTAAAGTTTCTCGTTTTTAGTTATTGGCAAAAGTTTTGCATGTTCTCCTACTGTTCTTTCTTGTCCTTTCAGTAGATTCTAGTCGGTAAACTCATAGTTGCCTGGTCATATCTCGACAGTAAACATATTTTGACCACATGCCAGGGTCCGACCACCGCATTGTGTTTTCATAATGAGCCGGAGACACTTCCCCCAAAAGTCCAAGGGCAGTGAATGAAAGGACTGTTGTTTCAGCTGAGATTAGAAGTGTCGGTCCAGTCCCTCGGCTTCGGGACTTTGAATCGTTCTTTTATCACCGCCCCCGGGGTCTCAGCAAGAGCCCAGCCTCAGCAGGAGTCCGTCCTGGGTCTCAGCAGGAGTCCGTCCTGGGTCTCAGCAGGAGTCCGGCCTGGGTCTCAGCAGGAGTCCGGCCTGGGTCTCAGCAGGAGTCCGGCCTGGGTCTCAGCAGGAGCCGGGTCTCAGCAGGAGTCCGGCCCGGGTCTCAGCAGGAGCCGGGTCTCAGCAGGAGTCCGGCCCGGGTCTCAGCAGGAGTCCGGCCCGGGTTTCAGCAGGAGTCCGGCCCGGGTCTCTGCAGGAGCCGGGTCTCAGCAGGAGTCCGGCCCGGGTCTCTGCAGGAGCCGGGTCTCAGCAGGAGTGCAGCCTGGGTCTCAGCAGGAGCCGGGTCTCAGCAGGAGTCCGGCCCGGGTCTCTGCAGGAGCCGGGTCTCAGCAGGAGTGCGGCCCGGGTCTTAGCAGGAGCCCGGTCTCAGCAGGAGCCGGGTCTCAGCTGGAGCCGGGTCTCAGCAGGAGTGCGGCCCGGGTCTTAGCAGGAGCCCGGTCTCAGCAGGAGCCGGGTCTCAGCTGGAGCCGGGTCTCAGCAGGAGTCCGGCCCGGGTCTCAGCAGGAGCCCGCCCTGGGGCAGGAGGAGGAGGGGGCTTCCACAGGATGTCCTGAAGTTGCCTATAATTTACCCAGCAGGCCCCGGGCTTTGGGCTCAGAGTAGGAGCGAGGAGGACATTACTTTATGATCCAACACTGACCAGAAAAGAATCTTTTAAATCATTAAATTAAATGTATTTGTGCGTCGCCCTGAGGCCCAGCAGAACACGGCAGAACATTATTAAATATGAGGCAATAAGAGCTTGAGTCAGAATGAGTCAGATTAAGATTAAAACATTATTGACGGTGTTTGAACCAGATTCTCCAACGGCTCAAAGACATTTCATATTATTTCAACTGTTGCTTTATTTTCTCGTTCCAAAGGAGACATTTCTGTATCATTTCTTTGTCCCTTTGGAGAATCTTTAAAACAGTCACAGTCTGCTCAGATTGAGACACATTTTGCCAAATTCGAGAATGTTTTGACTCTTTTTGCGCCGCAGTCGTCAGAGCAGACTTTACAAAGTTGTTGCTTCACCGACACATTTTAGAAAATCAAACCGTTTAAAATAGAAAATGTACAGTTATCTTCCGTCAGTATTTTCAACAATAATCTTTTGAAAACTGTCTCTCCCTCGGTGTAAATACAACCAGTCAGATTTACAGCAGGAGAATTGATAAATGACGAGGGGCTTCTGGGAAGTGAATACATTTTGACCAATCAAGGAGCGGCGGGGGTGAGCGTGGGCGGGGCTAACCAGTGCTTGCCTTTCACTCTGTCTTTTATAATTTTGAAAAGTAATTGACAGTGACTTAAATCGAGTTCTGAAATAGCTCTTTTATTGAAAAAACTTGTTAAATTGTATCTGAGTTTCTCTGTGTTTACATTTAGGCTCAGAACCGTCCGCCATGTTGACTCTTCCATATTTACTACATTTGTACATTTGTATTTTCTCATAATCTTAATCTCTGTCCTCTTCTCTTTGACAGGATCCTTCTGGAAACAGCAAAGTTACGGCAGTTTGAGGATGTCCTGGACTTTTAAATAATCTGTCTTTATACATTTCTTACATTTAACACCAGGCTTTGAAAAGCTGCTGTTTTGTTCCTGGATTATTTCAAATTTTTCGTCTTAATCCTCGACCTCCGCTCATCAGCAATGGCCAACATTCACCCGTACGGTCGCTTCACCCACGCAGTCGTCCGGGGCATCCCAGAATCCTTTGGGAAACCCTCGGACAACGCTCAGAACGGGGAGAGGAACGGCGGTGGCGGTGGCGGCGGCGTGGAGGTGGACCTGGCCAAAGCTCAGCGTCAGTTCGGCTGTCTGACCGGAGCCTTGAGGCAGAAGGTGGGACTGCAGCTGATCGAAATCCCCCCGGACCCCGAGCTTCCCGAGAGCTGGAGGATTGAGGACGTGGCGGTGATCCAGGGGGACACGGCGCTCGTCACCAGACCCTACCACCAGCAGCGACGCAGTGAGGTAATCCCCGTAATCCCACACACCATGCACTTAATCTGTCTGGGTCTGGGGCTGGTGTTATTCTGACTTTGTGAATCCAGTCCACACTGACGTGAAACGCTGAATGTCAAAGAGGGCGGGGCTTAACAAGTGCTTTGATACGACATTAGTTATTTACAGTAACAATGTGTAAGATTTTAATGTCCCTGTGACCCTGATTTTAATGTCCCTGTGACCCTGTACCTTTAACCCTTTGACCCTGTGTCCCTGTACCTTTGTCCCTGTATCTTTAACCCTTTGACCCTGTACCTGTGACCCTGTCCCTTTGTCCCTGTACCTGTGACCCTGTACCTTTAACCCTTTGACCCTGTGTCCCTGTACCTGTGACCCTGTACCTTTAACCCTTTGACCCTGTGTCCCTGTACCTTTGTCCCTGTACCTTTAACCCTTTGACCCTGTGTCCCTGTACCTTTGTCCCTGTACCTTTAACCCTTTGACCCTGTGTCCCTGTACCTTTTAACCCTTTGACCCTGTCCCCTTTGTCCCTGTACCTGTGACCCTGTACCTTTAACCCTTTGTCCCTGTGTCCCTGTACCCTGTACCTGTGACCCTGTCCCTGTGCTGCAGGCGGAGGCTCTGCGGGGCGTGCTGTCGGAGCTGCGCCTCTCTGTGGTGGAGATGGGGGAGGAGCAGGGGGGCTCTGGGGGGGCCACCCTGGAGGGCAGTGACGTCCTGTTCACGGGGAGAGAGTTCTTTGTGGGAGTGTCGTCTCACACCAACCGCCGAGGGGCCCAGGTGCTCGCCGACACCTTCAGGGTAAGACTGGAGTTGTTTTTAGCTCCCTCCACACTGTTATCTGTCACTTTTGGCACAACCTCATTTCACATTTTATATGATGTCATCGGGCCGCTATGACATCACACTCTTATAAAACAAAAGCACATAACATGTTCATTTCTCACTTTATTTCTTTCACCAACCAAAAGTTTATTTTACATTGTAAAACATACTCTGGTCATATCCATCCGTACTCTCAGGTCCATTATCATGTCCTGCAGGTAACGTCTGGGTCTGGTCCCTGTGTTTGTGATTACAATCTGTTGAATTCCATCCGACCAATCAGAGAGCGCGGGAGGCGGGTGTTGGTTAGATGTGGGTGACGTCAAGAGTTTGCGTTGAACAGGTCGTAGTTTGGCGAATAATGTGATAGTAAAGTATTCTGCTCTGGTTCTATCAAGAAACTGAAGCCGGAGCAAGAGGAATGTTTAGCAAATGTCATTGAAGCAAACATGTTGTGGCGCTACTCCCCACGGGCTCCGTTAGCGGCAAAGGAGATGGCTAAAGCTAAGCTAAATACTAAATGCTAACAACTCACTCGGGCTCATTACATACGTCACGATAACCTCAGATCCAATGGTTTCAATCTGTAAAAGGAGTTAGCCCCTCCCACCTGTTAACGGTTAAAGGAGCAAATCCAGATCTTAGTATGAAATGAAATTAATACTATGGTGTGGTACGACCAGGCTATGGTAAAACATGGAATGCCGAAGTAAATATTCTCAAGATCTGATTTAGTGACCAAGAAAATATGGCCTTCTTTGAAAACAGCTCTGCCACTGATGGGTTAAACCTGGAAGTAGAGCAATGACATCATCTCTTCAGAGTCCACCAGAACAGATGCATTGTGGGACATCCTGGACTCGCACATAAATATGGATTTGTGTTGTGTCCCCGAGCGGCAGTTTGTGCACCAGTCTCAGACCAAAACACTTCTGCAGCTGAGGGACACATAAGAATGAAATAATAAACTCCTCTGAGCTACGTCTAAATATTTAGAGATGTTGTTTGTGTTTGTGAGAGTCCAGATACAGTCTGAGGAGTTCATATGAAAGGGTTTGGAGGCAGTGCTTTCACTAAAGTGTGTCTGCAGCAGATGGTTTTTGATCAAACAAAAGTATGATTCTAAATCACAACAGAATCATCTCAGACTTAACAAAACTCAAAACAGAGAATCCAGAGTTAAAGCACAAATAGAGAACACATTGGAACATAGAGACACATGTTGATAAATGTCACACATGTGATAAATGTCACACATGTTGATAAATGTCACACATGTGATAAATGTCACACATTCAGATTCAGATTCAGATTCAGAAAACTTTATTGATCCCAAAGGGCAATTCATTTGCAGCCTAACTCAAAGCAGAACACAACAAACTCTACACAAACACACAGTGAGTCTCACAGTTCACACAGCAGCAGGTTACACAATATAAGTTAAAAAAAACAAAAAAAAAACAAACAATGCCATCCATCCATCCATTTTCTTCCGCTTTATCCGTTGCCGGGTCGCGGGGGCAGCAGTCTAAGCAGAGACGCCCAGACTTCCCTATCCACACACACTTCCTCCAGCTCGTCCGGGGGGACCCCAAGGCGTTCCCAGGCCAGCTGAGAGACATAGTCCCTCCAGCGTGTCCTAGGTCTTCCGCGGGGCCTCCTCCCGGTGGGACGTGCCCGGAACACCTCCCCAGGGAGGCGTCCAGGAGGCATCCGGAACAGATGCCCGAGCCACCTCAACTGGTTCCTCTCGACGTGGAGAAGCAGCGGCTCTACTCCGAGCTCCTCCCGTGTGACTGAGCTCCTCACCCTATCTCTAAGGGAGCGCCCAGCCACTCTGCGGAGGAAGCTCATTTCGACCGCTTGTATCCGCGATCTCGTTCTTTCGGTCATTACCCAAAGCTCATGACCATAGGTGAGGGAGGGAACGAAGATTGACCGGTAAATCGAGAGCTTTGCCTTTCGGCTCAGCTCCCTCTTCACCACGACGGTCCGATACAGCGACCGCATCACTGCGCACGCTGCACCGATCCGCCTGTCAATCTCATGCTCCATTCTTCCCTCACTCGTGAACAAGACCCCGAGATACTTGAACTCCTCCACTTGAGGAAGGACCTCTCCACCCACCTGAAGAGGGCAGGGCACCTTTTTCCGGTCGAGCACCATGGCCTCAGATTTGGAGGTGCTGATTCTCATCCCAGCCGCTTCACACTCGGCTGCAAACCGTCCCAGTGCATGCTGCAGGTCCTGGTTCGTTGGAGCCAACAGGACAACATCGTCCGCAAACAGCAGAGATGAAATCCTGTGGTCCCCGAACCGGACCCCCTCCGACCCCTGGCTGCGCCTAGATATTCTGTCCATAAATACAGTGAACAGAACCGGTGACAAAGGGCAGCCCTGTCGGAGGCCAACATTCACCGGGAACAGGTCTGACTTACTGCCGGCAATGCGAACACAGCTCTGGCTCCGGTCATACAGGGACCGGATGGCCCTCAGCAGAGGACCCCCGACCCCGTACTCCCGGAGAACCCCCCAAAGGACACCCCGGGGAACACAGTCGAACGCCTTCTCCAAATCCACAAAGCACATGTGGACAGGTTGGGCGAACTCCCATGAACCCTCGAGTATCCGATGGAGAGTATAGAGCTGGTCCAGTGTTCCGCGACCGGGACGAAAACCACACTGCTCCTCCTGGATCCGAGATTCGACCATCGGCCGTAGCCTCCTCTCCAGTACCTTGGAGTAGACCTTACCGGGGAGGCTGAGGAGTGTGATCCCACGATAATTGGAACACACCCTCCGGTCCCCCTTCTTGTAGAGAGGGACCACCACCCCGGTCTGCCACTCCATTGGCACCGCCCCCGATCGCCACGCGATGTTGCAGAGACGTGTCAGCCAAGACAGTCCTACAACATCCAGAGACTTTAGATAATCAGGGCGGATCTCATCCACACCCGGAGCCTTGCCACCATGGAGGCTACCAACCACCTTGGTGACCTCAGCCAGGGAGATGGATGTATCCGCCCCAACATCCTCAGCCTCTGCCTCTGAAACAGAGGACGTGACGGGGGGATTGAGGAGAACCTCAAAGTATTCCTTCCACCGCCCGACAATATCCCCAGTCGAGGTCAGCAGCTCTCCACCCGCACCGTACATGGTGTTGGCAAAGAACTGCTTCCCCCTCCTGAGGCGCCGGATGGTTTGCCAGAATCTCTTCGAGGCCGACCGATAGTCATGCTCCATGGACTCTCCGAACTCCTCCCAGTCCCGGGTTTTTGCCTCTGCAACAGCCCGGGCCGCGGCACGCTTGGCCTGCCGGTACTGGACAGCTGCCTCAGGAGTCCCCCGAACCATCATGGCTCGATAGGACTCCTTCTTCAGCCTGACAGCATCCCTTACTGCCGGTGTCCACCACCGGGTTCGGGGGTTGCCGCCGGGACCAGCACCAGAGACCTTGCGACCACAGCTATGAGCCGCCGCATCGGCGATTGAGGCAGAGAACATGGTCCACTCGGACTCCATGTCCCCCTCCTCCACCGGGACCTGGGAGAAACTCTCCCGGAGGTGTGAGTTGAAAGTCCGTCTGACAGGGGGCTCAGCGAGACGTTCCCAGCAGACCCTCACTATACGCTTGGGTCTGCCAGGTCTGACCGGCTTCTTCCCCTGCCAGCGGATCCAACTCACGACCAGGTGATGATCGGTTGACAGCTCCGCCCCTCTCTTTACCCGAGTGTCCGAGACACGCGGTCGAAGGTCAGATGATACGACAACAAAGTCGATCATCGACCTCCGGCCTAGGGTGTCCTGGTGCCACGTGCACTGGTGGACACCCTTGTGCTCGAACATGGTGTTCGTGATGGACAAACTGTGACTGGCACAGAAGTCTAACAACTGAACACCGCTCGGGTTCAGATCAGGGGGGCCGCTCTTCCCGATCACCCCTCTCCAAGTGTCACTGGCGTTTCCCACATGGGCGTTGAAGTCCCCCAGGAGAATAACGGAGTCCCCGGGCGGTGCACCGTCCAGTACCCCTCCCAAGGACTCCAAGAAGGCCGGGTACTCTGCACTGCTGTTAGGCCCGTAGGCCGTCACAACAGTGAGAGACTTATCCCCCACCCGGAGGCGGAGGGACGCGACCCTCTCATTCACCGGGGAGAACTCCAACACGTGGCGGCTGAGATGGGGGGCAATGAGAATGGCCACCCCAGCTCGCCGCCTCTCCCCGCGGGAAACACCAGAAAAGTGGAGCGTCCAACCCCTCTCAAGGAGTTGGGTTCCAGAGCCCAAGCTGTGTGTGGAGGTGAGGCCGACTATCTCTAGTCGGTATCGCTCAACCTCCCCCACGAGCTCGGGCTCCTTCCCCCCCAGTGAGGTGACGTTCCACGTCCCAAGAGCCAGCTGTTGTGTGTGCGGACTGGGTCGTCGAGGTCTCCGCCTTCGACTGCTGCCCAGTCCTCTCTGCACCGTTTCGCCACCACGGACCCCTCTGCGGGTGGTGGGCCCACAGGAGGGACTGCCCACGTCGTCCATTCGGGCTGAGCCCGGCCGGGCCCCGTGGGCTAAGGCCCGGCCACCAGGCGCTCGCCTCTACGAGCCCCGACCCCCAGGCCTGGCTCCAGGGTGGGGCCCCGGCTGCGCCATGCCGGGCGACGTCACTGATTTCTTTTGAGTGCTGTCCATGGTGTCTTCTGGACTGCTCTTTGTCTGACTCGTCACCCGAGACCTGTCTGCCATGGGAGGCCCTACCAGGGGCATGAAGCCCCAGACAGCATAGCTCCCAGGATCATCCGAGTACTCAAACTCCCCCACCACGTTAAGGTGGCAGTCCAGGGGGGAGCTGGACAAACAAACAATGAACGACACAATTCCCAAAAGTCAAGCACTTCTACCAGAGTTCAACAGTTTTATGGCAGATGGCACAAAAGAATTGGAGAAACGGTTTGTTTTCCGTGCTGGAGCATAAAAACGACGCCCTGAAGGCATCAATACAAAGTCGGCAATCAGCGGATGTTTGGGCTGAGCCAGAATACATTTTTCTTTACTCAGCACCTGTTCCTCCCACAGAGATTGAAGGTCTCTGAGTTTACCACCCGTGATTTTGGAGCAAGTTCTCACAATACTCTGTAACCTGTTTCTGTCCTTCAGCGTCAGGCTTTGGAACCAACAGATAAAAGAAAAGCTAAGAAGGCTTTCAATAAAAGAGCAATAAAAATTATTAAGGATTGTCCTGTTTACATTAAAAGAGTTCAATTTCCTCAACAGGTACATTCTCTGCTGCGATCGTTTAATGATCGACTCAGTGTTTATGTCAAACTTCAGTTTATTGTCTATTGTTGTTCCCAGATACCTGTAACTGTCCACGATTTCCACATTCCCGCCGTGGATGACGCTGGTGTTGCTGGATGTGACGCGTCTGAAGTCAATGACCATGTCCTTGGTCTTTGCAACATTTAAATCCAAGTAATGGTTATCACACCAGGAGACAAACTGAGCTAGTGCAGGACCATGGCCCGTCTCTGAGCCGGTAAGCAGTGACACCAGCACAGTGTCATCTGAAAATTTAAGCAGCAGTCTGTTCTCCTCTGATGATCGACAGCTGTTCGTGTAGAGGATGAAAAGAAGAGGCGAAAGTACACATCCTTGGGGCGAACCAGTGTTGGAAATTGTAGGAGCAGACATTTTCCCATTCACTAAAACTTGCTGAACACGATCAGTAAGAAAGTTTAATATCAGTAAAAGAAGTTGATCTGGGAGATTAAAATCAGCAGCTAATCTCTGTATCAGAATATGAGGCTGCATTTTGTTAAAAGCCGATGAAAAGTCTGCGAATAAAAGTCTACCATGGGCCCCTGCATTCTCCAGGTGTTTAAAAATGGCATTCAATAGGAACAATTTTGCATCATCCACTCCTTTCTTGGGTTGATACGCAAATTGCAGTGGATCCAGTTGTCCT